GAGAAAGATCAGGGAAGATGGCTAAGCTGCCCGATAAGGGGGAGAGAGAATGTTAATGTTGCTCTTTAAATTTTTTTTTTTTTTTTTTCTTTCTTTAATAAAAGCCTGCTTTTAAAAGTAACAGTCTCAGTGATTTTATTATATTCCGAATAGTTCTTGTAATTTGAAATTTGACGATCAAAGGAAAATGTTTTCGATACTTATGAAAAAGAACAAGTAAAGAAGAAAAAAAAATACGAAAGGAAGGAAAACTTTTAATAGCAACACTATTATTACAAGCCTGAAGTAAAGTAAAACTCTTTGAAGTACCAGTCAGTTGTGAATAACTGCGAAGTTGTTAATCATTACACCCAAAGAAGGATAAAAGCACATCCGAAGTGACAATGCGGTCAGAGTGTGTAAAAACTTTATCCCAAATCCAATTATTCCACGCGCATCCCAGTAAAATCGGAGCACGTAAAAATTAAATGAAAATATTATCCCTACTCTCTCTTTCTCTTCCAAAAAGCAATCCCGCCCAGAAGCGTTTCCTTCATCTGCAAAACAACGAAACAAACGAGATGCATGAATTTGCGGACGACAGAGTCGACGAACGATTTAATTTCCAAGTTCAAAGTATCGGCACGCGTTTTACTCCCACCGGAATTTGATTCGGGCAGCTCCCCCTTTTTGTCACCCCTCTCTTATACTATACAACGTTGCATGCGTTTTATTTCAAACAAAATGATTTTACAATTTTTTTTTTTTTTTTTTTCTTCATCCAAATAAACCCTGATTAAAACACCCGGTTTGTATCAACGAAATCCGTCAGAACAATAATATACGATACGAAGCAAAATCCAGATACCCCCCTCAGTCCCACCTCATTGACCCAACGTGCGGTATTCCCTTTCACCATCACGCGTATCCCAACAGTTTCGCACTGCCTCCAGGTATATTCCCCGAACCCCCGAAACCCGCCCGAAAAGTACGAACAGAAAAGCCCGAACAAACTATACGAGTGTACGTACATTGTGCGTATAGGTGCGGGCATGAGTAATTAATGAAACCAATAAAGCCAAGGCCGAGCTCGTGACTCTCGAAATTCGTTAAATTTAATTGGACGCAAATAATCCGACGTGCAGATGTACTGTTTACTATATACTATTTCGCTTCGCGGCACTGTCCATATGCATACACGGGCTTCGGGTTTCCGAACCGTTGGCGTACACACGCGGTGTGGTGCTCCCTCTCTGTCTCCCTCCCTCGTGGTCCATACGCAACGGCATTAAAAGCCGGCTAGCTGAAAATCCTTTTCCGGGAGTAGTTAAAAATTCGATGTTCCCGGCCGAATCCCGCGTGCACGCATGTGAATACACGGGAATGCATCGTGGGTGTACATATACGTACGGTTCGAGGTATCAAGCGCTCGTGTCGGGAAAGCTTTCGTTTTACTTTTTTGGCTTTTGTTTGTTTAAACCGCGTATCATGTTTTTTTTTTTTTTTTTTTTTTCCATCGGAAGACAAAAATGACGCGGGATTTTCGGCAAACAAAGGAGTGGACTGCGCGTGGCAGCCGCACCGACACTAGAATATTTACGGAATGCCTCGTTCGTCCTCGCGAGTCGAGGTCCTTTTTTTTTTTTTTTTTTCCCAGCCCAAGTCAGCGCAGAAACGAAACGCCCATCGGTTGAAAAAGTTTTTGGAGCCAATACGTTGTTCAACTCGTGCACGCCTGCATCAGCCGTAAAGCTCGAAAAGAGTGAGACTTCCGGCCCAAAGTATGTCCAGCGGAAATGTTGTACTCCTCCATCTCCTCGGCATGTGCGGACGCGAGTTTGATTTCAGCGACCGCAGCTTCGGCATCGGGTATCGATATGCTGTATAGCGTATTGTGCACCCAGAGTAGTGCATCCCTGCATTAGCGGATTAATGTACTCTGGGCAAGAGAATGTACATCAGGCGAACGGAAAGAGAGAGAGAGAGAGAGAGAGGGACATGGAAGGGGGATGTGTTTGGATGGCATTAGCGCCCTCGCGGATCCTTGGGCATTGATGCCACTCTGTCTCTTTGATTGTGCGTACGTGTGCCCGGGTGACAATTACATTATTGGCTCCGACTGGAATTATACGACGATGACGATGGTGTGACGAGAGCGACGATGTGAAGGACCATCGCGCGGGAGAGCACTTCGCTTCGGGGTCAAGTTGCTCGTCCGACACCACACGGTGGCCGTCGCTCTGATGTGCCCCCATCGCTTTGCCGGCTCGGTGTAAAGGATTCCTGCTGCTGCCTCGTCGAATTTCGCCCGCCTCCATACATGGGAAATGGATCTACTTACATAACGGTGAGCTGAATGTTGATCTCACAAATTTTGAAAATTGATTGGCCGACTAAAATACAAAAGTTTCATAAAGACAATCAGTTTTTAGATCCGACGTCCTTGAGTACACGGAACGTACATCAGCAAAGAACGGATTTTGCACCTGCAGCGATAACACCCCATATGCCATTGTAAAAGCTCCCCGAATCCGATGGGGAGCGAATAGACGCTTAATTACATATCCTTCCCTCGCAGTATTATAGTGACGACCAAGCCAACAACAAATACTTAATAGTTTCAAAGATCCGACCATCTTCGGAACTCCTGGGGGTGACTCTGTAGCCGCAGCTCTACATGTGTGTGTGTGTATATAATTGGTGCAGGTATTCACCGGCGCTGTTGCGAGCACGAAATTTCCGAGCGCCAAACCAAGCGGAGGCTAAGGTGAGCTCTGTATACCTCCCCTATTGGGGTGTGCATATATAGGTACATATACACATCCCACAAGGCAGCGGAGCACAGAAGCGAGTATCGATCCGAGGGGGAGGCCCACTGTCACCTGGGCGCTTCCGCGCCGCTGATTAAATCCGGCCTTGCCGATATAATATACACATCGTATTATAATGGTAGTAGGTGTAGAAGAAATATTAGGGGAGGGGGTCATGGCACCGGCGGGTCGCGCAAAATTTCCGCAGCATCGGAATTCTGTGTGTACGCGGATAATACAGGGGGGGTTCTTTGACGGCTGCGGGGGGGGGGCGGCCGAGGTAGCGGCTCTAGGCTCTTTTCAGAGAAATGTAGCGTGTATAGGTGGAAGAGGCAAGCGGAGGCGCTTTGATTAGGACGCACAGCGGCGATGAATTTAATCAAAGGAAAGCGCCGAGAGTTTGTTGTCGCGCTTTCAGGAGTTTCCGAGGTGGCTGCGTATACATGTATGCATACGTATATCTGGGGCTGTATAACGGCAAAGGAGAGAAGCAAGCTGCAGCGCGAGGAGGAGGAGGACCACGACGACGCCGGGAAGAGGAGCTTGACTGCATCTTTTATGCATGCCTGTATCCGAAGGGAGCGCGGGGCGCAAAGTTTGCGAGCGAGTGGATTGGTGCGGGGGGGCTTTTACCTGATTTTCGTCTGGCTTGCTTTATTTGGGTGTTTGGTGGGTGATGATCGGGGGGGAAGCTTCAGTGCCGTGAACATAATTGTGGAGGTGCCTTTTTTTTTATTGTCAATACTTATAATATATGGTTACAAGAATGCTTTTGATGACTTCATTCAACACTTGTCAATAACTAAATGAAGATTCTGCAATCGTGACGCGAATCACGCGTGCTTTTTCCAAGTGCGGTGACATCATCGCTTACCCTTGGTTCAACAATTAACAATGATATGCATGCGAAAAAAAAAAAAAAACAGCAAACGTAAACCTACAAGCTGCATTCGATTATGTATAGGAAAGCTTGCGCCCATCGGGCATAAATCACTCGGAGCGATAGCGTCGAAAAGGTGGCGCATTCCCGCTAATTACATCCCTATCCCTGGGCGTACACATACACACATCCCCGAGGAAAAAAGGGCAAAAAGAAAGACAGCCGGCAAACAGAGAAGCCAGTCAGTCTGGCACGTGATATGCAAATTCGCAGGTCCCGCAGAGATAAGTAATGCGCCTGGCCGGGTGCTCTCTGTGTAATATACGTGAACACCACACACATGCAGGCAACGAGGCGCAAACGTGCGGCTCTCGTAAATCACGCGTCTCTTTCCCGTAAGAGCATTTGCCGAGTGCCATTGTTGGTACACGCGTATACGTGCACCGTGACACGGTCGCGTGCCTTCCTTCTTGATGATTATAAGCGCGAGGCCTTTAGTAATTAAAAGAGATACGAGCCGTGGCTTGCCTCGTGACGGCCCCACGCTAATAAGACCCGCTCGTCACAATAGGGCGTCAACGAGGGCTCTTACATTTCTGCGAAAGTATTTCTTGACGTTGGCATGTTCCATGAAATCGTTATCGATCGCGTTCGTTTCGGAATTTTTTCAACTGTTGACGTACAACTTAAATTACAAGCTTTGCATGGTTGTTCAAATTTGTACGATTACTATTGTATACGACTGATGGGAGCGTTTGATGACGTTTTGGATGAAATTCACACACGTTCAACTGTGGAAAAAAAAAACTCGATTAAACTTGCATTAAAAACACTAGTAGCCCTAATGTACAGTAGGTATCAGGAAACGAGGATTAACACGAAACTCTCATTTGTAACGGGAGCTCGGGACCGCGATCCGCGTTCGGCGAATCCGCGCGCTTACACTCGGCCGGTGTTAATTGCCTAGAGCATAAATCTTTTGCCGAGCGACGGCCGCGGTAATTCATTCCGGAAACCAAAGGCAAAGCCTACGCGCGCGAAACGACTAAGCGCCAAACGCGTCCCTAAGTAATCGAATTATCAGCGCCGAGCGCGATAGCTAATCCATGCGTTGCTCAAGCCACGATCTGTTGCATTGACAAATAAACACAAAATTGTGTTTATAAGGTGTTGGGGGAAGTTCACCAATGCTTGGTAACAAAAAACAAAGTTCAAAGTACTAGGAAAGGACACTTGTGGAGAACAAACCAGGAAATGAGAATTGATTGAGTTTTAAATATTTTTATGTAACGGTATTTCTTCTCGTTTTAAAAAAGTATGCATGTGAAAAATTACAATTTATTTTAATTTATTTTAAAATCTAATCTCACACGAAGTAGTTTACAAGAAGAACTTTCTACGACTAGTTTCCATCTGGTGTCGTCTGCCTTGGATAATCCATTCGAAATTGCCATATTTACTATCGAACGTACCATGCTGCAAGGATTTCACTCTTAAAGTAAATCTTGGTCCCAATTCGCGCAACCTTGGCTTGGCGGTCTCTTTGTCAAATTCGTATCTGAAAAAAAAAAAAGCTTTAGTAAGATGTAAAAAAATGTAAATCTATATTTTGATACATCAACTGTAAATTTGATGTACTGGATATTGCCTAATTGATAACGTGATGTTTCAGTAAACTCTCAAGTACTGTATTGACACGATAATTAATTATTTTTTAATTTTTTTTAATATGAATTTGAACTATTCAACTTTATCATACCTATGATGTCTGAAGAATATGTAATCACGTTGGTTATGGAAAGTGACGACTCGTCTACCTTTAAATTCTGGTTGATAATGAAATAGAGCCCCCAGCATTCTAGAAACTGTGTATCCAAGGCGTGTTGTAAAATTATTCAACAAAACTTCTGGACGATGTTCTGATATTTCTTTATGACTCCTTTTCAATTCTGGAGTAATTTTCACATTGCTTAGCCTACAGTACATTGTAGGTCCTTCAGGCAAATGAACTATCAACATACCATCTGAAAGTAAAAAAAGATAAAGATAACAAACATTATTAAACACTGAATAAATTGACTGAGAACAGACACTAGAAACTCACTTGGTTTGCTCCGATCTTCATTTACAACAACAATATCCGTAAATCCTTTCTCGATACAACTCTTGACCATTTTCTTAACACCAGAGCGATTTCTGTACAACGATATCGAATTAGGTATTATCCTTGTCAATTCTCTGCCAAATATCCTCGTCTTTGCATGTGGATTGTCAGAGAAGGTGATCAACACTTTGGGTTTATACTCCTGTCTGAAGTAGGCAGAAAACTCATCGTGCTCTAGATCAACTTTGACTTCTTGATTCTCCTCATCGTCGATCTCTCCATGAATCGTGGTGTCATCTTTCTCTCTCAAACTTTCGATGGTATGAGGCACCTGTTTGGGTTCACCAGCTTTTCTTCTGGCCTTTCTTTTTGCTTTTTTCTCTTTTTTTTTCTCTCTCAGCAACTCATCGTACTTTTTCACTCTGACAGCTTTACACTTGATGTGCCCGACTTTTGTCTCTTCCGGCAACATAACCTCTTTATCCTCTTTTATTGACACATCCTTTTTCTTGGCAGCTCCAAGCTTACCGAAAGGATTTATCACAAGTTCTTTTCCCTTCATTATAAACGTTTGCTGGTTTTCTAAGTTACTGTAATGAAAACTGTAAAAAAAATCCACAAATTAATAATCTAGTTAAGAAGTCAGTGTACAAAACATAAACACGTTGCATGAAGCCACACTATATATATAAACAGCTATAAAGATGCCTTATGCATGTCGCATGTGGTCAGCGTGGGGAACTCAAGGATACTTAGGCATATATGTACCTATCTATAATTTGCAACAAATTAAAATAATACATGCAGTTACTTAGTGTCAGTCACTAAGTCAGTATTAAAAATTTACTACTGACTTCGAAACTTACAATAAATAGAGCAAATAATCGTGTGACGTGAATATAATGCCGTAAATAATAATAAAAAAAAGCTTATCAAAATATATGAAAACGAACCTGATCAGCAGCACATATACATGTAATAACGATTACCAGCTGTCAGTACGATAATTTAAAAAAATTATGCAAGATGTTTTACATTTCGTTAAATTGTATGTACAATACTTGATATGGATTTCAGTAATTATTGCAAAAGGTTGAGATGACTTACATATGTTTACACTTCTATTGTCAAGCTGGTAAAGGGTTGGTGGATGGGGAACAAATATACACATGTATATAATAGAGCTCGTTGTTGGTTCATCAATTGGTTGTTGGTCAGCGTGCTAGTCACTGAAACAGTATAAATATACCAATAGGAAATAGGAGATCGATTTTCAGGTAGAAGATAAATTGTAAACTTGCCGCAAATAGCACAAACAGTGTCAACTTTTTATTATGTATCTTTAAGATTAGTTGCGGCTGGTTTATAATTAATTAAATGGCTCTACTATAAGTAGTGATAATCAGTTGGATCAGCGCCATCTAGCGGTCGAAACTTTTTTGGCCAAAAATTGCTTCTGAAATTCTGAAGGAGAGCTTTAGGCAGTTTGGCCCTAGAGCCATTTACTCAATTATAAACCAGCCGCAACTAATTTGGTAAATACAAAATGAAAAGATAACATTGTTTATGCTGTTTGCGGCAAGTAAACAATTTATCTTTCACCCAAATATCGACTTTCTACATATTTATACTTTTGGATAAAACATAAATTGCAAGCTTGCCGCAAATAGCACAGACAGTGTCAACTTTTTATTATGTATCTTTAAGATTAGTTGCGGCTGGTTTATAATTGAGTAAATGGCTCTAGGGCCAAACTGCCTAAAGCTCTCCTTCAGAATTTCAGAAGCAATTTTTGGCCAAAAAAGTTTCGACCGCTAGATGGCGCTGATCCAACTGATTATCACTACTTATAGTAGAGCCATTTAATTAATTATAAACCAGCCGCAACTAATTTGGTAAATACAAAATGAAAAGATAACATTGTTTATGCTGTTTGCGGCAAGTAAACAATTTATCTTTCACCCAAATATCGATTTTCTATATATTTATACTTTCGGGTAAAACATAAATTGCAAGCTTGCCGCAAGTAGCACAAACATTGTCAAATTTTAATTTTATATTTATCAGAGTAGTGGCGGCTGGTTTATAACTGGCTAAATGGCTCTAGGGCCTAAAATGCCTAACTCTCCTTCTGAATTGTAGGGCCACTTATTAGTTCAGAAATCTGCAACGCTAGATGGCGCTGATCCAAATAATTATTAATAGATAAGTAGATCCATGTAATCGAGTATAAACCAGCCGCAACTAATCGTATACACATTTGATAAATTGTTAACGTTGTTTGGGCTATTTGTGGCAAGTGTACAATTTATGTTTTACCCAAAAATTGACCTTCAAAAGTATAGATATTCTACTTATGTGGTTTAATAAAATTGATGAGCTCGTCGTAGGCTCAGTTGGTTAGCGTGTTAGCCATTGATACAACACAGCGAGATTTATATTAGATAAGACAACTCCAAAAGATCACCGATTAATTTTACAAGAGCAAAAATATTTATCAGTCTTAAAACGGCATAAAAACTAATAGAAAGACCCAACGCCAATCTTCGCCGAATAGAAAAACTAATCGAAATTTTTTTTCGAGTTACAATCCTTGAAAAGTAATAAATTTTATGAAAATTTTTTTTGTATTAGTATATTATTTTATTTGCCTGTAGTTACTAATGTAAGCTGACTTCAATTAACTTATTTAGAGTTCTCGTGGAATTTACTCGCTATTAATATTAACTTTGGAACTTGGAAAATTTTGACAATTTTTAAAACTCGAGGTTTTAACACACAAGCTAATCCTGGAAAGTAAAACCGCGTTTGTCCTTGAAGGAAAGAGAGAGACAGCTTTTGCCGCACTCCTATGCAATGCACACTGACGACGATGAAACCTTGCATGAAAATTTACAAAATTTAAAACTTAATTATAATAAGTATATATATTGTGTACACAGCAATACAACTCAAGATGCACTTCAAAACAAATAGCTTTTCTAGCTCAGCTCGGTTCTCATTCTAGTTTCTTATTTTAAAACGGGGTACTTGTAAGGATTAGTGTGTAGTGTAGATGCAGACAACTGCGAAGGGAAACAGTTTTATTTAATTACATGAGTATACTCTTGTCGACACACTGTATACATATAGGTACTGTATGCGACATACCATTGCTTCAAATTGTCAAATTATCGTCATGTGCTACAGCTGCACAGTGCACACGTTGTTTTACTGCATAGCCTATATTCATAACAAGTAGAGTAAGAGAGAGAGAGAGAGAGAGAGAGAAAAAGAAAGATGCAAAAGTAGAGAGAGCATTCGAAAGAAAAGGAGTTGATGGAGTGCATGAAGTATTGCAGAAGCAAACAGGCAGCATCAGAAAAACTACAACAGGACAACTGCATATTCTACAGGAGACAAGGCAAGACCTGTAGAAATTGTGTGTGCGGCGCTGCGCGGCACACGGGAAGACAGAAGACAAGCACATACTTATTAAGTGCATAGTACTATAGACAGTCAAAGTAGATTTAGAGATTAGAGCATAACATTTACATCACATCAGATCAGAGAGCACTCTAGCAATCTCAGCATCATACACCGCGTGTGTGTATGTATACATATAAATATAAGTATATATACAAAGAGAAAAAGAGAGCCGCCGACGCCTCCTCCTTTGTAGGAGCTGTTGTGTCTTTTGTATATATACTCTTATTTTATTTGCTGGCATTGGCATAACATAGAAACTCTGTTGTGCTGCAGAGCTGCAGAATAGAGTTGCGTGGATTGTGCGTGTCCTACTAAATCCTGCTGGCTGCTACACGGCAAAAGGTAGACGAGATGTCGGGAAGCGACAGTCCGACCTTCTTCCACGGCCAGCCTTGGTCCAGCTGGATCGAGAAGATCGGCCGGGACAAGCCCCTTAGTAAGTTGCCGGCCCGACTCTATTACAGCTTTAGCCCTTGTATTTTACCTCTGTCGTTCGTTCTAGGTACAATTATTGGTTTTGCCATTAATGTATTTTTCATCCACGACATAACCTCCATTTTTTTACAAATTTGCTCCTTCCCCTCTTCTCTGCCTCTCTCTCTCTCTCTCATTCATTTCATCTTTCTTTGTCTCTCTTTTGCACCTTTTGACACATATAGGCACAGGGACACAGCCCCTTTTGTATATGTACATCCTACATGCAGTTCATATTTCTGCAGAGGAGCATTGAATTATCCAAGCATATGAGGGTATTGATGTTATCCACAAAAAGAAAAAATAATTTTTACCCTTGCGTAAAAATAGATTTCTTAAATGTGAAATAATCGAGACGAAAAGTTCTTTTTTAATTTGTCCTCGACGGGGTTGTCGCGCGTATGAATTAGTGGATTTACTTGATTATTATAGACAGAATGTTGTCTGCCGCTCGGTATATACGGCGCCGTGTCCTTACGACTCCCTTTTAAAAACTCTTCTTCCCCTTTTTTGTCTCTACACTTACCCCCGGAAAATAATGATTTGAATCGGCTGAAATAGCATATTATGTAATGACGGTCTTTTTTGGGAGAAGTTTGCGTATACTTACTTATGTATTGTTATTTTTTATTCTTTTTATGACAAATACTTGCTTTTCGTAAAATTCCGTGTTGCCGTAACGCTCATTGATTTTTTATTCACGAATGTATTGTCAAACATTTTTTTTCATACCTTATGTACACTGGATGATTTTGCATACTCTACAGTTAATGGATACTTGTCTGGCTTCAACAGTTTTATTTTATTTTTCCAAGTAAAAAAAATAAATACACGTGTGAAATGCTTTTTCTCTCGAAACTTTAGATTAATTTATGAATCTAGTTATTTTTAATTTTTTAACTAGTAATTGTCATAGATTAAAAAAATAAAATTCAATTCTAGGTGATGGCGAGCCAGATTCTGAGCCCTCCAGCTCAGTTATGCGTCTATCAGTGGATGGTAATTTGGTTTGATTTAGAATTTTGCATTTTACTTTGACTTTGTTCAAGACACACATTATTTTAAAATCGAACTGAGTACTTCAATCGCATTGTTTCAATTTTTCAGACATTGATTTATTTGGATTTTGTCCCGAGAGAGATAACTTCTATGGAGTTGTATGTGAAATATGCAATTCTATTGTCAAACCTCAAGCTTTAATTCAACACATGGGTAAGCTACCTGATTTTAAGGCCAATTAATTTTGAAAGTACAATACACTGAATCTTGAACTTTCCTATTTATTTAAGCCACCAATTTTAATTATATAAAATAAAATTGTCTGATAATATTTAATCTCTGAGTATAAAGCCGAAATAAGACAGAGATTACTCACATATCAATTTTAATATGACTGATCATCCTAGAATGTTTTTTTTTTAAGACTAATAATACATCAATTCAATGTGTTGATTACACTTTTTTTTCATTTTTTAGTCACTAAATTCAACTGTGATCTTAAAGTTTTTCGAAAATCGTTTTAAATTTAGAGAGTCGACATCCCTCTGGCACTTCAAATCTTCCACCACCTACAAATTCGACCGCAAAGCCAATTATGAAGACGCCTTACTGCAAGCTTTCAAAGCTGAAGAAAAGCCAATCTTCGGGACAACTCTTGCTTACAAACAACAATAGTAGCAACAACGGCAGCGGGAATGGCACCAGTAGCAAAACCAGCAACAACCACACTCCAGTCAAGCATCGGACTGGCGGCAACGAGTCGCAACCACAGCCCAGTTTGCACCCGAGCAACTCACCCCGCTCGCCCCTTGATGGTACACCAGCCAGCAACAGCATCAATAACGGTGGCCCGACGATCCCTTCCGCGGGGCAGCTTGGTGCACCGACCTCCGCAATCGCAGCAGCAGTCGGTGGCTTCTCGAACGCGCTCAGTGGTACTACCTCGGCAGCCAGTCCCGTCAAGAGCCCGGGGAACCAGCCGAAGCGGAAAAGGCTCAAAACGGACCGATCCCTACTCAAGGACCGAGAGTACGACCCGGACCGACACTGCGGTGTCTGGAACGAAGAGACGAGCAAGCCATGCACCCGTTCGCTCACATGCAAGGCTCACACGGTCTCGCTCAGGCGGACTGTCACAGGCCGAAGCAAAAGCTTCGACAAGCTGCTTGCCGACCACCGAGCTTCGAAAGAGTCCCCGGCGTCGCGCAACGCCACCAGCAGCAACCCATCAAAGGCCGTAGCAGTGAGCAGCTCCGCCGTCACAGCAGCCTCCAACAGCATCAACAACAACAACAACAACAACGTTGCGCCGGCAGCCGCGGTAGTAGCCTTGAGCATTGCCACGAGCGTGGCCGCCGTCGAGCCAGTTAGCGCCTCGAGTGCACCCTTGGTCGCGAGCGGCCTTATAGATGCCTCCGCCATAGTAGCCAACAGCACTAGCTTGCCAGATCTTGAGGCGCCAAGTTCGCCACCAGTTCTCTCGCTACCTGATACCTATCCACTGCCACAGGTAAATACTAAACGTGGCTCTAGCTGCGTCGGCCAATGGATCTTTGATGTTGCGTGGTGGCCACTTTCGTTCCGGTAGATTAAGCTCCTCCTCTCAGATACTTGGTGATCGAGGAAAAAGCCTCACCACTATCTAGTCTTGTTTGTTACCTTTTATTTTTCATTTTTTATTTGTTTGTTTCCGTACAAAAGACGTACTACAAGAGTAATGTAATGTAATCGATTTCGTAATGTAGTTGATATTTGATCGAAAAATTGTATTGAAGTTCGACTCGCAATACTTCTACATTACACCTTTGAAATCTAAAAGTCATCATCTTGAGATTGTATTATTTAATGGTACAAAGAATTGTTTGATTCAAAGACTGTTATTTTGTATACTACCCTTACATAATAAGTTCAACATCAATTATTTAGATATTGATTCATAGAGTAAGCCAGTGGCCACCATAATTGAAAAACTTCTAAGCATAGCAACAATTTTCGTGTCATAACCATTTTTTTTTTTTTTTTTTTTTAAACAATCCATTTAACAAAACATTCCAACGATATGAAATTATATTGAAAAATAGTTACTAGTAGGAATCTTGACTTGTTATCTTTCTATTTAGCTTTGTCCGTTTGAAGAAGCCATGAATTCAATTGTACATATTGAAGCAGTAAGAAAAGTGTTTATATCGTACGTTGTCTCATTTATTTTTAGTATTGCTTATATCTTTCCATAGACAATTAATTTTTGTTATTCGCATGATTATTTATGACTGTTAACATTGGGAGTTACTTGCTTTATTTGTTTTTTAAATTTATTTTATTAAATTTACATATTTTTTCGTTACGAAGTATCATCAAAAGCTTAATTATTGTAATTGAAAACTTTCTTTTGGGTAATTCTGTAACTAATTAAAAAATGAAATTAATCCTAATTAGTTACTGGCTCAAATACTTTTTCAAAACATTCGTCACTCTCATCCATCATTCAATCATGGTTTTTAAACATTATATAAATAGGGTCTGACTTTACGACTTTTTCATTTTCAATTATAAGTTGTTGCGTTAGTTGATTTAAAAAATTTGAGCTCATGAATATAAAATTTAAACAATCTTATGAATCTGATGGGCACATGTACAAAGATAGGCTTTTGGTTGATACACAATTTTTCTTTTTTGTTATTACAGGCTGTTGATTTGCTTTATCGATGTCTGGCCCCGCATGGCTCCAATAAACCTGTAAGGCATGGTTTCTTTGAGTCGCCGCGGTTTTTTAAAGAACCGCGGTCCTGTGTTGACACTGCAAATGCAAATGCACCCCGTAATTTGTATTTCCAGACTAAATTGGAGGAGGACTTTGCCAACGAGCTGGATCCCAGCCGAAGAATCGATTCGTCGGTGGTGAACAGCGTCATTACCTCTAATAATATCACTGCCAGCACCAACAACAGCATAAGCAACATCAATAGCGGGAACGTAAATAATACATCTAGTAGTAACAGTAGTGCAGCAATGGCGCCTATATCAGTCGTGCTTCCGTCGCTGTCACCTATCCAGTCGAGCATGGGTGGCCTTTCGCCCAGCCAGGCAGCTTCGCTGATGCAGTACAATAGAACGAGTTCACCTACCCTCAATTTGGAACAGATGATTGTCAAGCAACAGTCTCCCGTCTCCATATCGGTTGTGCCCTGTAGCGGTAGTCTGCTCATCAGCAACCAATCAACTCCGGTGGGCAATGTCGTTCTCGAAGCAAAGCCTGCACCCATGGACATTGATCAGCCTGCCAGTAGCCAAAACTTTGGCAATAGTAGTATGTACATGTCGCCAGTGCATCAATACAAGGATACTATTGTCAATAAGGTAAACATGCACTCAAGTCAGTCGCCCTCGTCCAGAAGCAGCAGCTTTTCAAGTCTGTTCGACACATCGGCAACCTCATTACTGGACCAGCAGCACTATAACTCTCTGGATACGTCGATGCGCAGCAATCATTTCGCGGCGTCCATACTCACCAACGGCAAGCAACAGCGCTTGAGCAATAATCACATGGGTTTCCAGATTAACACCAGCAGCAGTCCGTCACTAGTCAGAGGAATCAAATCAGAGTACACTCAAGACTACTCGACGGCCATACAGTTGGAGGCGACCGCAGCCTCGACGCCCTACGCTGCAACGAGCTTTGAGGATATCACATGGTCCAGCCACCATCCCGAGCCTCTAGCTGTAAGTAAATGGCTACGCATCACTTCCAGCCGCAAACAATACAACTTCAATATTCACTGACATAACGCTCTGCCCACTCCAGGCTGAGGATGCATCATTGTGTCACAATTCGCGCCCGGGAGAACAAAGTTGACATTTGCTGCTTTTGTTCGTATCATTTGATGCGCCTAAGTTTTACAACTTATCACACATCAAATGGCCCTTAATTTTTAATTTTTCGTTATCAAAGATATGAAATCTTAATTTTAAATAATTGTGTTGTAATTAAAATTTTACATTGATATGCGACTAAAACATTACTTTTTCCCAAATCTAGTAATGATTTCGCATACATAATCAGATATAAACCAGACTAAGAAAAAATTAGGCTCAAAGAATCATAACAATACAATTTTTTTTAATTTTTCTCGGGCACTGACCTATTTCTTTTTGTATTTATTAAAATTTATTTTCCATCTGCAGCCTGTCGAGAAGGGAATAATTATTATTTAAGCATAAATTTATTGAAAATGCGTATGAATGTTTGTGAATACGTAAAACTACTACTTTAAAAGCTTTCCAGCAAAGTAAAATGGTGTCCCAATGGCATGTACACTTTTGGAATGGTCAAAAACAATGAAATTGAAAAAGTGTAAAAAAACGCGTCAATTAGATAGGACACCAAACTGATACCTGAGATATTTTTTAGCTTAAAAGTATCCAATACTTAATTAGATAGATCATAAAATTATTTATTTATTTTTTTATCATTTCCCTACCTAGAAAATTTTGTAAGATTTTTTTTTCACAACCGCATGAAACGTTGATTCTTTTATTATACCAACCTAACACTAAAAATAAATGAACGTTTGTGCGTTCGAGAACTGAAAAAGTTAAGTCTGAACTCATCCATACTACTATGTATTAGTTAAAAGGAAAAAAAGTGAAGTAACCCAAGATACGATAAAGCACTCACTAATTGTATAAAAAAACTTGAGCTGTACGCTTCTTTTCGGTTGGGATTAAGTTTGTCTTTGGGTTTCTGATCTCGCGTTTTTGAGTTGTATAACCGTGCATTTAGTCGTCAAGTTTATTATTAAATCGTGAGCATTTGTAGTACGTTACTGTAAATAGGTTTATCGATTATAAAATGCCAAGCGTTGAATAATATTATTATTCACTATTGTATTTATTGATTAAAATAATTTTTTTTACTTTTGTGATTAGTAATAGATATTATATTCTTTATAAAACAAAAAAAAACCATTAATTTATAGATCATTTATTTAATTTAGCCCCAAACAATTTGTAAGTTGTTGGATTTTTTTTATCTTGCCAAACAATATTTTACGTAATTGCCAACCAATAAAAAAATTTGGATGGCACTGAAAAAAATGTAGAATAAAAATACAATGATTGTTATCCATCAGAGTAAACAAGATAAACGTATACTCAAAGTTAACAAAAAAAATGCGAAAGCCAACATTAATTAACTTTTCAAGAACTATTATATTATATAATAACGACAATATCGGCAGCTTACGGAACTAATCAATTTACACGCTTTTGTGTAATCAATAATTAAGTTAATATTACTCATGTAATCATAGTTAACCTGTTCCTCATCGAAAAAAAAGTTTTAAAAAATTAAAAATTAAGCGCAGCGTTGGAAAGAATAATCGAAAATAATCATGATTGGAAACGAGTGTAAGATCAATTTGATTCTAAAGAAAATTTATTTTTTTGGTAAAACAATTGTCCTATTTTTTTAACTTATTCTAGCCAGCTAATACGAGATTTTTTACATCAAAAATATAAGTGAATTTTTTGAAACTAAGATGAAATAGAATATCTCAACAACTTTATATACAGACAGTATTAATGATCCAGCTATAATTTGTAACATTTTTGTATTGAAAATACTTGCATTCATGATTTAAGAATACTAATTTTTTAAATAAGTGCAGGATTGTATGTGAATGAATGAATGAATGAATGAGAATACATGTTGAAAATTTCTGCGTTGAATTGTAAGCGAAATATATAACGACTTCTCATCATAGATTGTGATATTTATTATGTAAATGTACATTACATATGTATACGTAGGGTTTGCAGTGATGATTATGTTAAGGATAATAATAATGGTGACAATGATGATTATGATGATGGTGATGATGATGATGATAAACAAGTAAAAGGCCATGGACGAGAAGGCCACTACAGTTTCAAACAATGTCGCAGCTTGTAAAAGATTGCGGCTGTATTCACGGATTTTTGTTCCGTTAAAAAACGCTTACATATAATATATTATATAAATATATACTTACCTACATGATAGTACAGCAAAAAATCATATGTAAATCGTTCGATTCGTTTTTCGAAATGAATAAAAGATTTTTTTTTAAAGGAGTACGCTCGCTCTGAATTTCTTGCTAGTAATGCAGCTTTGGAATCCAATGTGTAGCTGTATAAGTTTTTTTTTTTTTTTTTTTTTTTTTTTTTTTTTTTAATGCTGTATTCTAACGAAAAAACTAAAACACATATAGAGGGAATATTACATCTGATTTATATGTACTTAGACATTTGGTAAATAAAAGACTATTATTTCGAAATATTCTCTGTTTTGCTTCTTTGAAGAGGAAGCTTTGCAATGGATGAAATATCGAATGTTGTGATAACATAATATAAATGTTTTCTTTATTTTACAATGAATGTACATTACTCACCTAAAATATCCGTCAGTGAATTTGTGAGGGCACATGCATGAGTGTGTATGTTTAATCAATTAAATCTTGCGTTTTCCTCAAACTTTTCGATTTTTATCTAGTAACCTGCCCTAAAATGTCTTTTATTTTGAGGTTTCGAAAAAAAAAATAATAATAATAAAAATAAAATGCTATTTTGGAAAAAATAATTGTAAATTATAAATAACAAAATGTCATTATCATTTAAAAAATATGAAATCTTACCTGTATGATGTAAATGATCATACATATAACTTTCTAGGAAATTTGATGCTGTGTTAAAAGTAAGTTGTTTTCTGTACACAGTAGTGTTCCACTTTATTTATTTTATTTTGAGATATTACTTAATGAAAAAATGCAACTTTAATCCGTGAATTGATTTAAAATCTTCAAGGAGTTGAATGAAAATGAAATCCCTCGTGTCTTTTTTAAATTTTATCCATGCATTATTAAAAATATATTTCTTAAAAAGTAAAACGAAACACTTTTTGTTTTTGTGTACATTACTTTGATATCTCACCCAGCATTAATGAAAATGTCAGTTCAATCAGAACAAAGAGCATAAAAATGTTGCGCATTAAAGTTTTGAGAATCTAGAAGAAAAACAAGTATAGTAGCGATATTGAACAATATACCTATCCACGGTTACGTATGATAGTGGTGCATGGAAATTGAAATAAATCAACAGTAACAAAAGTATTTAGCCTTTCAATTGGCCAAATGAAAATCTTCCTTCAAAGTCTGAGCAACAGCTCTCATCCACTGTGCCACAGCATAGGCGCCCGCGTCTATTTTACCTCTGTGCTCGGGGTCGGTCACATAACTTGCCCGGCCGGCCCTGGATGGTAAGTAAAAACTATACTATTTGAATACTTTCTTCCGAAGAGGCATGTTAACTCAAAATAAAAAACCAAGCACTAACTTCGGCTCGAGGGTCTTGGTTTTTTCAGCGTACATCTGGATGCAGTCCATCAAAAACTTTGCAGCATCAACGTAAGACGAGTAGTTTTTCCTCAGTAGCTCTATCAAACAGGGCTCGATCACGTCGATCTGCAACACAATTTCCAATCATCCATCAGCAGCAAGCCACGTCAGTTAATAAGTCACGAATACAGTACCAACGTCTTATCGCCGATCCTAGCTCTACTGTATCTCTTGAGAACCTCGACACCCGCGCGCCAAGCGCCGAGCCAGACCTGGAGCCAGTTGCAAACGACCTCGACTTTGGCCATTTCTTGCGCCGCAGCTGTGAAAAGCAGGCTGTAAATGGCGCCCGACGTGCCACCCATCCGATTTTCGGCAATCCCTGCCAATTCGGTCATCAGCGAGGCTGGTCTGGCCAGAGCCAAAGCCTCCAGCGCGGACAGAATTCCTAAAATGACACTACGATCATCTCCACGCAACTTGAGACAATAATCATCCAATGTTAACCTTCGGCGAGGCTTCTGTGCGTGCTGCCGCAATCCGCGTCACCGCACCCGCTGTCGAGCTCGTTGATCGTCCTCTCCTCGTTTATCACGGCCCTGCAAGCCTCGACCAGACATCTCTTGAGCAGTCCCTGTTGGCGGCTAGTGAGGGTCGGTCCGGCGAGGCTATCGATCTTTTTCGACGGCTCGGCGGTCATAACGTTTCTCGGCGGACTCGACTCGGTGCTCGACGTCTCTAAGCTGTATTCGCAGCCCGTCCAGCCGGGCGCCTGGGTTGGCTGATCCAGCGCTTCGAGAATCATTGAAAACGCCTCCGAATCAGATTCCGGCAGTCTGAGCACCGACAAGTGTACACCTACGCTGTTAAGCGACGTCATGAGGTGACCGCTGTATACTCGCAGCACCTCGACACCTCTTTTGCCTGAAAAAGAATCCAACATAATATGTAACGATAAAAGGCCAGCTGTAAGAAAACTCGTGGCACTTTGATGTGTATATGTACGCACGTAACTGAACGTTGACCTCTTTGACGATGATTTGCAGCTCCAACTGGGTCAGGCTGCCAAAGTTGTTTACCAGTACAACGAGTTTCGAGGTCGAGGATGAGGTATCATCGAGCTTCAGGGCCTTCTCTATTCTGTCGATCAAATGGCTCGCAGTCTTGGACGCGCTGCTCAGCTTCTTTTTCTCGTAACCATCCTCGCCGTGTATACCTTGGCCAAAGACGACCTCGTCGTCCGGTATCCGGAACATGGCCTCCTTTTGACCTGAAATTTTTTATACTCCATATACTGACAAAATATGGTTTTATATTAACACAATCCTACGTATAGGTGTATATTACAATATGTATATATGTGCATACCGAACATGGTGCAAGGGACCAGCCCAACCGAGCAAGAGGCGATGTTGTCCGCGACTAGTTTTACGTGCTTGTAGATCTCGTCGAGATCCTTGCCCATAGCGGCCAGAGAGCCGGCGACTTTGATCGCGAGCACAATTCCCGGTAGTGCTCGTTTTCCAGCTATGCTCAGCTTTTCGTCGGGTATGCTGCAGTCGTCCCCGAAAACGATCTGCTCGATCTTATTTGCGCGCAAAGTGGGTGATCGGTACAATAATCGGTACTTTTGTTTTATATTTATCATAGAGAATATGTATACCTTCAAGCCGGAGAGTCTCGCTCGCTCGATGGCCAAACCAAAGTTGAGACAGTCACCGGTGTAATTGGGTATGATCACCAAGCATCCAGCTGTTGTAACAGAGTGGCTACTGAATTGGCGTTGCACAAACAATATCTAACTGATATTTATATTGTAAGATATGTACCTTTTTTGTGAGTGCAGATTTTTTCGATCGCGTGGAATATATTGGAAGTCGGGGGTGAGGCAAAGACCGAACCGCAGACCGCTGCCGTGAGCATTCCCTTACCGACGAAGCCTTTGTTTGGATATATAGATAGGTATAACAAATGTATGTCTTGTGTGTCATAAATGGCACGTTATTACGAATCTGGGGCAGGAAAAAGTGAAGAATGTCGCAGATCGCATTCTTTACTTCCGTCCGTGGGTGCGTATGCGATTTTTCGTGTCCCAGCGACCGGGAAGAGAATACGTACATTCCCGGTAGCTGATACGAAAAACTATTTTGATGAAGTGATGATACTGTATACGTTTTGTTGGATATTTAAAATTTTCTCGTATACCTGCAGCAAAAGGCTCGTGTCCACTACCTCCGCCACTTATCACCCCCACTTCATCGGATTCGCTCCACTAAAATTTTGAGGACATTATGTGTTTTCAAGATAGATTTTCTTTTATTTACTTATATACATAAATTTATTTGACGCTTGAAGTGCCCTACTACAAATTGTTTCCAAAGTTGATTAAAGTAATAATAATCTAATCATGTTCCCTGCCGATTTTCATGTATATTCTCGTAAGTTTTTTTTAATCGTAGTTATTTTTTTATGATTATCGACAAATAATATCGCAAATTCTAACTCTCATCAGACTTTAAATTGGATTAATACAATAATTTTCTGTGGCCCCTGATACATCTATTGTCAGTCAAAAAAGTGAGATAAACGCTGAAGTAAATAAAGAGTGTTTGTATTTTTTACGGGAAACTGTTTTGTAAGGGAAACGGAACCTTATCGCATATTAATATCGCGAAATTAAAAAAAAAATGAAACAAACAGATATCAACGATTTTATCTCTACAATGGTTAATTAAAATAAGTTTTGTGTTAGAGAATAAATATCTTCCGATACGAGAAAAAATCTGTACACTGCGATACTTTCAATTTGCTCAATTTATCTTTGATTTGAAAATAAAATTGGTGACCATATAGACTCGTATACATATTCTACTTACAATTAATTGAGTCAAACTTACATGTGGCATCAAAACAACTCTCTGCTCTTTCAATAACTCCAGAGCTGGATATGTTATCGTGAGTCCAAGCAGTGCCTCGTCCACTATTTCGTCGACTTTGTTAATCAACTGCTTACCCGACATTATTATCACGATCAATTAATTGACAGTAGTATCGATATCACAATGACAAAATTTCCTTGGACGAACAGAGGTGATCTTCTCCACTGCTGATTATTACCGATCCGATCGCTGACTGCCATATACGCGTCGTACAGTTTTAAAGTTTGAAGCCGCGATTTACGCAAGAACGCCATTATCAAGTTACTTGCATGTACATAGGAAATTCCACTAAAAATTCGGGTCAACAACGAGTGAAATTTTTGTGGACTTGTTAGTTGATGCATGTATAAGTGGTCAATGTGTTCACCTTAAACATATTTCATGTACTATCGCGAACGTGCAGAGCATGTGCAGGGATTATTGATGTATGTAGTTATCGGTACACGCGTTCATAAACACAAACGACTTCGACACGGCCGTGGCCTCGCTCGGATCGATGTCAAGTTTAATGCTACAGAGATGCTGTGGTTATAAACCAAGTTACTCACTTGAAAAGTATTTTAAATGAGACAGCGCTTTTAATAAAAAAAATTTTAGTGTGAGCGAAATAAACATGATTAAAGTGTGGAAAACTTATGCTAAAGAATAAATTAGAGGCATCTGGAAAACGTAACTTGAAAAATAGTTTTAATTATTTCATAAAACGTTTGTAAACATAGAAATTTTTTTGTGTAAGAATTACGTGTAAATGAATATCATCGAAACAATTACAAAATAAAATACAATAACAATTCTAAAATTGATGATCACCGGATGATTCACTTTTATCAGTTCGAAATTCAATCTTGAATTTTTTCAGCTTTCACTTGTTTCTTGTACTCACTAGCGATTTTTTTAACATCTTGCAGACCGTCCTCCAGCTGTTTTTGCAATTTTTCTTTGTCATCTTGATCGTGCAAACTTAAATACTGCAGCACTAGATCTGAAAGTTAAAAAAATTGAGTTTCTAGTATTCAAGAAAAATTGTACAAAATTCAAATTTCAAATACCCACCATGATACTTCGAAAGTGTAGATACACACGTCTCTTCCAAGTATGGATACAAATATGCGAGAATAGTCGAAACATGTCTTCCAGAGATATGAAGGGCATTTTGGGTGGCAGCAGTGAACAATATCGTCGTCGTCAAGTGTAAAGCCAAGGCCGGATCTTGAGTATTGTTCAACTGCTCTAGTAGAGCTTCCCTGTGCCCAATGATGATCGGCCTATCTTTCTTCTTATCGTATTTCTTCAGAGCCAAACAGCAGGCCGACATGGCTGGTTCAAGGGCATTAAAAAAGTCCTCTAAATTGTTACCGATAGTTGCCCTGTGCAAATTCGTTAGCGGCTCCCTTACGTCTTTCGGAAAATCCATTAGCATCTTTTGTCTTGCCTCCGTCGTTAAATTAGACGCGCACTGCATCACATTTTGATTGGCGGCTAGTTTAAAGATTTCCGTGGTAAAGTCTACCACTAGTGTTTTCAACAAGTATTTTACAAGCGGTGCTTGAACGTCTTTGTCTAAACACTTGATTCCCTTTTCAAACACCTTGATATTCATGACGAGCGTATTTAATCGGTCGTCCAACTCGCTAAGATTCGTTTTGTTTTTCTGCAGCAGCTGCTCAGCCACTTCCGCAACGTGTTTGTTAAGTGACAAATGGAAGTGATTGGTTAGCTCGTCGATGAATTCCTCACAGTCAAACAAGTTTTCATCCTTGCTCAGCTCTTTTTTGATATCTTCTGTACTTACCAGATGTAAGTCAGCCTTTCCATGAGACGAAGCAACTTGATCGTCATCCGAATCGAAATCTTGATTCTTACCCTGATTGTACTTCTTCTTTGTCGACTTGGTTTTCGTTTCTCTACCTTGACTACCACCACCAGCTTTACCGCTTGCAGCCTTTTTTCTCCTTTCGGCTTTTTTGTCTGCTTTTGTGTCCACGATTTCTGTGACTTTGGTTTTTATTTTGCTCTCAACAATCGACTGAAGCCACTTACCGCTATCTACTGCTTCTTTGGCTTTTTTTTCGGCCAAACATTCCAATTGCTTGTAAAGGTTTTGTAAGTAAGATTCTGATACTATAATCGTCGTCGCAAAAATATGAATGGATGATTTTAATTTCAAGGATGATTCATGAAGCAATCTCTCGATGTCTTGTGGACTGAATACTGATGGCAAAAGTGGATAAATATCAGTATAGGATCCAGATGCCACGACTTCTTCAATATTAGCATCTACTTGATCTATCAACATAGAGCCAACAGCTACTGTATTCAAATAGACTAAATCTTTATTTGGAAAATGTCGTTTGATGTAGCTCTTTGGATCTGAGATGCCAAGTCTGAGTAACGCATCATATTCTAAATGAAACAATAAAAAATTAGCTCATAATCTCTTGATCCACGAAATTGCTTTGTTTTAAATTAAAACTCACCCAGATAGCCATTTTGTTTGTAAAAGTTATCTACCCATTCACTTTGAGTTTTAGAATAAATAGTGGGAACATAAATGCTGTTGCTACTTTGTTTTCCACTTACTACACCGGGTACCTGTTTCTTCCCTTGAAGATTATCTAGAATAGCTGTATCAAAAAAGATTTACAATTAAATAATTACATTTATACGATGTCTTTTAGTAATTAAAGCTAACTTACAAAAAAATATTCTTTCTGGAACAGTGCATTGACCTAGGATTGCAGAAATCGGAGTAGGCTTTGTTATAGCTGAGAGTGCACCTCTAATTTTTGCCTCATTCCTAGCTATGTAACCCTGATTGTAAATTATGCGTGGATCTTGAGAATCTTGTTTACCAAATATAGTTTTGCCTAATTCTTTTTCAATTAATGGTTGCAAAAAATCAGCAGGTAAATTGTAATGTAATGTTAAATCCATGATACTGATGACGCCAGTATTATTAAGTTTATCACTAACTTCTTCTGCAACTTTAGCCATATAATTACTATCAATCAACTGACCTAACACTATTTTCAGTTCTTTGTCATGTTTTTCAATATCTATTGCAATTTTGTATATATGAGACAAATCAACATTTAATATATTGGCCAAGTCAGTTAAATTTACGCGTCCTCCATGAATATAAAGCTCATCTTTTATTTCTTTTGACAAGTGCTGAGGTGTCACATACTCCTTTCCATCATTGGTAAATATTACCTCTAGGAGTTTGTCTTCAATAAGTTTTGAGACAATTTCTATGCAATTACGTTCTGATAATCTGGAAAATTTTTTTCAGCATAAGACTATTATACATGACATATTATCAAGTAATTATTAATATATTTATAAAAATGCAAGTCAGCCGTTTTACAAAAAAGTAAGAATGTATTAAAAAAAAGGAAATACAAATTTGTTTGTGCAAAAGAAAGAAAAAAAAATAGACAATAACGTAACTTATAGTACTCTTGATAAAAAAAAAATTATATTTACTTCAACAATGTATAACTCAATTGCGCTTTCTGAAAGTCGGCGGCTAGCCGTTTAACTTCATCCCAATCAGCTGCAGACATCTTTATGAAGTTACACTCAGGTTTTTATAGTTAAAATTGACATACAATTTGCCAAACAATCCTATACACTTCACAACAACTGTTTGAAAAACAAGTCTCACTTAAAGATGCGAAGCCAACCACATTGTAAACATTCAATATGTTAACTTGGGCTGTATTCCGTAAATGCTGCCAGCAGTTAAGTTACGTAGGTTGTGGTTTGTGGTAACGCCGCATGGTCGGGCAGCGCTAGCGTCAACCTGTACTAACTCTGTCGGCGGGTTTCGTTCCGCATGTCAACAAACTTCGATATTTTTTGCTGTTTTCACTCCCATGCCACATTGCCACCCGATACTTATTTCGGAGTTTGTTGACATGCAAAACCCACCGAGCCCAACACTGTCACTGACAGTTAGTACAGGTTATCGCTATCATTCTGGTGAAGAGAGCACGGTGCATGTAAGATAATTATAGTAATAAAATCGACCATATGGCATTACTTAGTAGTGATCACTATAATAACTACACATAACTTCACGTGCTCCTTTTACCAGAATGATAAAATCACATAGGCTGTATTCCGCAAATGCTGCCAGCAGTTAAGTTATGTAGATCGTGGTAACGCCGCTAGCGTCACGTATAATTTCATGATTCATGATGAAGCATATATACAACTTTGTAATGTTAAACGTAGTTTTGGTTGTAATAAAATAATTACTACAGCATAATAAATACAGTATACAATGTCGATTTCTTTATTTAATAGTAACAATATACAAATCCTTAGTAGTATCTTAAACTTATAACAATAACTAATAAAAATTATGTCCACCTAAAGTGTGCAAAAGATCTATTTGCTTCGCATTGCCTGTACAATTCTTGTTTCTTTCTTACTACTCTTCCCTGAAAGATGGTGTTCATTATAATTTTATATGTACAGAAACATTTTTATTAATATGTAGATGAACTAACCATATTTTTGTGAGCATCAATCAATTCATAAGCTAATTTTTCCCATATTTTGACAGTCATTTCTTTTTCATCTGCAGATTGAATTAACCATTTCATGGCTAAAAATTTTGATCTTTTATTAGTAAGTGGTACAGGTACCTGTAAAATACTGTCTTGTAGTGAAATATCAAAATAATTTATTTATAACCAAGACCATGTAAAAATTTGGACACTTCATACCTGGTAGGTGATACCACCTCGTTTTATTCTTGCGAGTTCCAATACAGGAGAGCAATTTTCAATAGCTTTGTACAGTATGACTTTAGGATCAAGTTCAATTTCATTCTGTTTCTCTGGATCCGCTTTGTGAAAAGTTTGAATTTGAGCTCTTTTTATGATCTCAAACGCTTTTTTGAGTATTTCTCTAGCACGCTTTTTGTTTCCTTCTTTTGTCAAATAGTTTATGAATTGACTGTAATTCAGATGTATAAACAGAAGAACATTTATCGAAGAATGATAAAAGAATATGCAATATGCAAATACAACAAAATTGGCTTACTTTACAATAGGGTCATAGAATTCAGAAGAAGTATGTGGTGTAAATGCAGGTTTGATTGGCAAATGTTTGATCTCTTGTAACTCTCCAGCTTTTTCCATTTCTGCCTGTACATTTTTTTCAAACACTGGCTGAACATATTGTTTCGGAAACACGCTGTAAAATCTTTCACAAGAACTAATTCTGCAAAAAGGCACAAAAAAAATAATACAACGAATGAGGTTATGAGTTGTCAAATCAAAATTAACGCTAGTAAATTAAGCGGCTTAAACGTAATAATTTATCGTACTGAACGCAGTAATAATCACTAAACAAGATGAAAATCAGTGATATACCTGAATGCTTGTTTCACATTTATTAAATTGTTAAATTGAACGGCAAGCGTTCTGAAAGGTGCCATGATTTTGATGCCTCTCTTTCAAAACATCGCAGAATTGGCGGGGTTTCGGAGTAAATTTAAATTCCGCTTATTGTAATAAATTAATTACTAAAAAATATCCAAGTGCTTTAAAAAGAAAATTGCATAGAAATAAGTATAATACAAAAGAGTGTGTTTTCACAGTTGAATAACTTTAATTTGTTTATACATATTCTGTTCTTTCTGATTCGATTTAATAAGTAATTTTATTGGTGAGTTTTATAGTTTTCATCATCAAATTAATATATGATATAAAATAGAATGAAATTCATGTAGTACTATAACTTAAACACAAATTTACGTTTACATACATACACATCTACGTAAAAACCTATTTCATCGTAACTTTCATGACACACATTAAAAGTCAATTTATCTTTCTTATACGTAGAGAAAAATTTTTAGACTTCTTGATTTAATTAAAAAATATGTTTTTCTCTGAGGTAGATAAAATAAATGTTGAAAAAAACATTTAAATAAAGAGTGAAGAGTACTCCCGGTCTATTTAAAACTTTATGTAGATATGCAATGTATAACCGAAGTCTGCCTGCCAAAGCCATATGCAAGTGGATTAAAATTATTAATAATATAATAATGCACACCTATATTTTTGCATAAAAAGTTTTGGCAAAACAAGTGAACAATTAACATATAAATATATGCGCTTAATTCGATCGACGCGCTGTACAAAGGTGGTCGATTTCGGTAGCTAATTATCTCGTATAGTATTCTATATATTAGTATACCTATATATGCGAGTGTATTCAGTGTGTGCAAGTGTGGTGTGCAGAATGCAGAATAATTACTGCAAATGTGCAAATGCAGGTACTCTGCTACATACTTACTTATTGCTCTCTCGGATTACTGTATGAATAATAATCGTATATCCAATTGTATGTGATAACACCACTTTCTCGCCGTCTTGCCTCGTGAAAGTTTCCGAACTTGTGATGAACAGTTTTTTGCACAGATTTATGGTTTAACTAGATATAACTTCCTTGTGGACAAGAACAGTAGCTGTATATGTGACCTTGGGTTTGGCTGGTAGTGTATCTAGATGATAATGTTCCGGCTGCAGGTATACAGGTCGCCACAAGTGTTGTTATTGACAACGACCAACCTCTGACGACGATCTTGAGATACCCTGAGGTTGCCTGCGCTGCCATCACACTGTATTTTTGTCTACAGCTCGAGGCGAGGGTTCTCCAAAGCCTCTTTTCATTTTCGAGGATCTATAACTAGTGTACCTACCTTATAAATAGGTACCCTCTTTTGCTCTACTATTATTTTTCCACCAAACCTTAGATATGGCTGAGAACCAGGCCAACTCGTCCAACCAAGGTATGCACATAAGTTTGGTTTTTATAGCATATTCCGTGCAAAACTTTTTTTTTGCTTGTTTTGTTTTAGTCAATATTTTATATTTTAAGGGATTGCATTATCCCAGATCCCAGCTTCATAACCTTCTTAAGTGCCCTCACATTATAACACATTTATGCTTATATATAAGTACATTAGCAAAAAATTAAACTATCATGCAGCGGTTAGCCAACTTGATTCTTTGTTTCTTGGCTGATATTCAGAGACTTGGAATTGTACGTCGGTGGTTTGATTAAATTTTTTCATGGGTACTTAATGAATCGAAAATGTATGCTCATTGTGGCTATATTTGACAAAGTACTAATTGTTATCTGGAAAAATTGGTCTTAACTTTCTCATGTGTCATCTCTCAATTAAAGCTTCGTTATCTTGTTTTTCTCATTACACTAATTATTGATCATACCGTCTATATTATATTACAATTATTCTCGTCGTTTTTTACCATTGTAACATTTAACAATTATAATATGATTTATGATTTACGAAAATTTTGATAATGATAGAGTATTTTATTCTATTTATGTGATTTCGATATAAGTTTTTTATTGATTATACTATTTTGGATGCTAATTAAAATTTGATTGTCATTAATACTGATATTTCATAAAATTCTAACATGTTAAAAGGTCATCAGATTTTTTGTAATTTAACTAATAATACTAACAAACTTTTTTTTATTATACAAGCAAAAAGTGCAATTAAAAAATTGAAACAAAAACATGTAGAGCATAATTAAAATACAATTATTTCTTGATCATAGGTGACAGTAGTAGGCCATTTAATTTTCCAGGATTGGACTTTAGGTCAAACAGTGAAGCTCAAAACGATGTAGCTGGTATGTCATGTCAAACTAGTAATTTTCATTTTTAAATTAATGCTACAAATTTTTCTTTTTTATCATAGCGGAAAAACGTAGGCAGCTAAAATTTAGCTTTCAAAGTCCTGGGGGTACTATTCCATTTTCGAATTCAACCAGTTCTATAATTACGAATTCTACAATGGTACCGAGTTGTCCACCGATTTCGTAAGTAAACGAAATGCATATTTACACGTCTAATTAATTTTCAATGCTATTTTCAAAGTTGAATGAAATGTTAGTCTATATACTTTTTTTTTAACTTTATAAAAGGATCTCACGTCCAAGCTTGCCTTTACCTTTACCAAAACTTCCTGCAAGGACTCATGCAGTAACACAAGACTTCTTACCTGACAAAGCAAGGTACTTCAATAATATTTAAAGTTTTTTACATCATGTTCTTATGGATACAAATAAAAAATATTTATTTCAGAGACAAATTCAAAATGTGCCATTCAATGCAAAGCACAGGGAAGTTACAACTTTCTCCAGATACAGTGTATGACTTCACAAGTGAAGATCTTCAAGATGTAGGTGAAATTGGTAGAGGAGGTTTTGGAACTGTAAATAAAATGATACATAGGATAAGCAATACTGTCATGGCTGTGAAGGTAATTGATTCTTTTATTCAATTGCTAAAATTGAGAGAAAAACTGTTCATTTAGATGATATTAATAACGAAATTTTTAATGTGCTGTGTATTTTAGAGAATTCGTTCGACAGTAGATGAAAAAGAGCAAAAGCAATTATTAATGGACCTGGAAGTTGTCATGAAATCCAATGAGTGTCCTTATATTGTGCAATTTTATGGAGCTTTATTTAAAGAAGTAAGTGTACCCATCTTCAAAAACTTTTTTATTTATGCAAAAATCTTTTCTAACAAATTATTACGTTTCTTTTAATTCAGGGAGACTGTTGGATATGCATGGAACTGATGGACACTTCATTAGACAAGTTTTACAAGTTTATTTATGAAAGACTCAACGAAAGGATACCAGAATGTATCTTAGGAAAAATTACAGTAGCCACTGTAAAAGCTTTAAATTATTTAAAAGAAAAGTTGCGTATCATTCACCGCGATGTCAAACCAAGTAATATTCTACTTGACAGAGGAGGCAATATAAAGCTGTGTGATTTTGGTATATCTGGCCAATTAGTAGATTCAATAGCTCGAACACGAGATGCAGGATGCAGACCATACATGGCTGTAAATTAATTTTTTAATACCTGTTAACTACTTTTTTAATATTTAGAAATTTTTCAATAGGCACGAATATTGTACTTTCAGCCTGAACGCATAGATCCTCAGCGCGCAAGAGGTTACGATGTGAGGAGCGACGTCTGGTCCCTTGGTATCACATTAATGGAAGTAGCTACAGGGTATTTTCCCTATCCAAAATGGAACTCTGTTTTTGAACAACTCTATCAAGTAGTGCAGGGTGAACCACCCAGATTGTCTTCTGTTCATAACGGATTCACATTCACTATGGATTTTGTTAATTTCGTAAATACTTGGTAAATGTTTTTCGCAATTTTTTTCTAAAGAGTTAATCTTATGTATAGCTAATTTTAATATTCTTTCCAGTCTTATTAAAGAAGAAAATCAACGTCCAAAGTACAATAAACTTTTAGAGCACCAATTTATTAGAATATCCGAAGAGGCAGCGATAGACGTAGCCGCTTATATTGGCGGCGTCTTGGACAATATGGCAAACAATGGTGTAACTCCTTTCACCACAAACCAGCCTTAAAAAAAAAAAATAAATAAATAAATAAACCGAAGGAAAATACCAATATGCGTAAAGCTCAAGTTAAGACAGAAACTGAGTAAAAAAGCAAGTAAAAATCGAAAGAAAGAAAATCACAGACCGTTCCTTTGTTATTGCAATCCTGCGTTTTCCTCCCTCAAGGCCTGTGTAACTTTTTAGTAGGTGAGAAAACGCTCTTATCTAGTGTAATTATAAAATAATTAAATAACACGAGAATCAACTGTAGAGATGAAGAGAAAAATAATTCTTTACTTCTATGTTCCCAAAAAATACTCGTGTAGAATATCGAGCGAGCGCGTCTCGACTATCTACGATATTTTAATGTAGGCAAGAAAATAGTAATTGAAAGAAAAATCGACAATGGGTGGGATAAATTGTTCATATTTTAAGACGAATTAATGTAGCTCTCATTGATAAATAATATACCGAATTCAAATAAATATTTATTTTGACATCTGTCTTTGGATGCCTTTTACGTGGATTTGTAATAGAAATGTATAACACCAATGAAAGTTTCGTTTGAATCTCAAACGTTGCGTTACTCAAAAATTACCAATTAAGGTTTTTCTTTCTCCCTCAAACCCTTTTTGACACCAGTGAGACATATGAGAAAGCCATTACTGAACATATTCGTTATAAAGCCTTAGCATTGATGCAAAACGAATAAAAAAAATGTTGATTTACTGCATTTCTATGGGTAAGTAATTACCATAATATCACGAAGCAATAATCCACTTGTCGATCTTAATTTTAATACAAAACTTTATCATAAACAGTGCTAGTTTATTTAGAAATGCTACCGCTGAAATCGTCAACATTTGTTGTTGTTTTTTTTTTTCGAAACAACAATTATTTTGCTTTACCTTTATAACTGTGAGAAATACGGTTTTCCGCATAAGTCACCAAATTTGTTGGAAACGCGTTTCAGTCGATCACATGGTACGAGTGCGAGTCAATCGTACAAGTACACGATGATGCGAAAGTTGTCCTGCACAAATTGCGTAAAAACTTCATAAAAGTGTGTAGGAAATTGATTATTTTCTACACACTATTTCGAATACCTATTTTCCACACGAAAAATTTTGTACACTACTCGTGCAATCAACCAATTCATTTGTGATTCAAGCTTTAACGATATCTACACAGAACAATGAGTGCAATGGCTGCTTTTAATCTAACAGCAACGCGTAAATCGCTATTGCATGCGTAGAGATTGAGCGAAAAATCATGTTCCTCTTTGTTCTGTTTTGAAGTGTAGAAAAAAAAAAAAAAAAGAAGCAATCAAGAATATTAAATCATTCTGTGATGATGGCGTTATTTGCAACTTGCATTCGCACACCATAAGGTGCATTTTTCCCGACAAAAATGTATATGGAAGTCAATGTTCGTAACGTCACCCATGTCAAGTTGAAAGGGAGGGTTTAAGACGCAGAAGCCGGTGCTTGGAAGTCCTCATCCATGTAAAACTTCCTTGCACCTTTATATACATAACATTCGTGTACACGATTTTCATGTGGTTTTTTTTTTTTTTTTTTTTTTTNTTTTTTTTTTTTTTCCAATGAAGGAAAAAAGAAGAAATAAAAAAGCACGCTCAAGAATAAATGTCACGTAATTAGTAAACGTACATATATATATATATATATATACACCAAGGGACATAAGTAGTTTCGCCAAAGCAGTACAAATTTAATGCTCCCGTTCGTTTGTTCGGTGATTTCGTTAGATTCAGAGCTTACGTAACTATTAAATTGCAAAGCAAGAAGATAAAGAAACAGCAAACGAAAATAACCAAGAAAACAAGTCGAGTTCTGTATCGCAGGCTGATAAAAATAAATAAATTATAATGACTACCAGATCGATCACGTGTCATCAAATTTATTGGTTTTGCCTTACGTTTTTCATTATATTTTTTCCCTTTTTTTTTTACCCCCTACTTGAAAGTGTTATTGTCTGTTTTACATAGGAAACGGTACTCTATCCACGCAGTAGCCATATCTTCGTTGCAAACTAAAAACTGCGGGTGCAGCTGCAAAAATGAATGGATATATGAAGGTATATACCATTAGTTATTCAAATGTGGTCGATGTTTTATTTTTTTTATTTTTTGTCATTTTAGCATTTTTCAATTGGATCTTCTTGATCTCATGTAAATTTTAACACGTACTTATTGTTTGTTTATTTATTTACATTATCAAAACGCTAAGGGAGATCGAAGAGACGTTGTCAAAAAATTTCTTTCCCCATTGCTAAAAAAAGTCGTATAATCAGCGAGACAAAAAGCTTCAATATAGTATAAATTTCGGCAACATCCTGTAATGACTCGTCCAGATGATAAAAACTCGTATAAAAAAGATGTATAAGTACAATACATGGCACTTGGTGGTCCTCAAATGAATTGTTTTTCTTTTAACTTCGAAAATCAGTAGAACGAGTAAAGATGTGGTCAGACGCGCTCAAAATGCGATAAGTGACACAAAGATCGAGTATATCTTACTTACTCTGCGTAAGAAAGGGGTCTTATTGTAAATCGTACATGACGGAAAAAGTAGTGAAAAAAACTGAGGAACTGATTCATACTCCACCTAAACGAAAACGAACTCATTCCCGTGCTTCCTTCTTAGCCCGAAGTAAAAACACGATTAAAAATTGCAATTGCAAATAGCTCTATACCGACGCAATAAATTCAGCAACCCCCCCCCCATGCTGCCCGCACCCCCTCCTAACACACGTATACGCAATAACGCCAAGAAAGCGCTATACACGTTCCACCTGCGCTAACGTGCAGCCCTTGCGGGAGGGGTTGTAATAGGCAAAAGGGGATCGATAGCCGGCGAGTGTTCACCTGTCGCGCGGCCCGAAAAGATGGCGGTGTCTCTCCCCGCGTACACCCCCGCCGGCTCGGCCGCTGGTCATTGTCGATCTTGGACGCTCCTCCTCTCGGTTCGAGTATACTTTATATACATTACCTACGCGCGCGCGCACACCCTGCACGGCGCAGCAACGCTTGCAGAGCGCTTATCGCGAGAGGGCTGTACCGCGTCTTGGATTTCGTTCGCCGCGACTGACTTCGGGTTCTTTATTGCCCCTGCCGAGTTTGACGCTCGGTCGATCGGTTTTTGTTTTTGTTTGTTTTTGTTTTCCCGGTTGAGGTTTTCGGTGCCCAAGGATCGTGCATTGTCTCCTTTTTTTCTTCCTTCACCTTCATCCACCAAAGGTCTCTGGGTTGCTTATGGTGCTGACGTTTTTTGCCGCGTAAGTATTTTTTCGCGAAACTTCGCCCCGACGCTCGAGATTTGGTGACTCGGGCGCTACTTGCGAGTGGAACGTAGTCGAGCTGAGGAGTAACCAGAAGCGGGTAGACACGCGCGTGTACTTCAAGATACCCCCCGTGGTATCCACTTCAGGTGAGTGTTTTTATATAACACCCGATAACCCACCCTCACGTTAATTCGAAAAAAAAGATACATTGTTGTTTTTTTTTTGACACGCGCTACTTATTGTGCAAGACAGGTTAAAAGGACATCTATGGCTGTACGTGTCCTCCCTGATCGATTAGACGGTAACTTACTTTCGTCATCTGTCTTTAAAAATTTATTGTTTCCTCATCTTTGGCTCTTAAAAATGTCTAGACTTTTCACTCAATGGTAATTTTTTTGTTTTTTGTTTTTTAATTAGACGCAGGTGCGGTACAAGTACACGTACCTAAAGCCATTTAACAACAATTATCGGGATTTTCGATTTATACAAAATAATAAAAAAATATCATGTATGGAAAATAATATGAATTACACACGATAAAAGTAGATCATGTGAAAATATATCAGCACGAATATGGTATATGTATTATAAATCCGTAAGATTACCTCATATTGAGCAATAGTCGGAAAGAATTTGAAAAATAAAAAAAAAAAAATAACACGTAACTGTCGATCATAACGTAGTAAGAACATTTGAAACAATTAATAGACGATTGTTTCTTTTTACGATCAATCGGAATATTTATTTAAGTCGGGAAACAATTTGTTGTGTATACCTTTCATGACGCGATTTAAAACACTACTTGAAAATATTAAGAATAAAAAAGACACATAAATATAGAGCCGTATCTAGGTGAACTCTATACATCTGTATAATTGGGATACGAGACAGGAAAAAAAAAAAAAAAAAAAAAAAAAAAAAAAAAAAGTGAATAAAAGGTGCCACCACCTCGTGTAGCAGCCTGTACCTATCGCTGGATCGAAAACCATATGCAGTGTAGACCACTGGCAAAGGGTCGGGGATCAATTCTCGTGAATATTTTATACCCCCTCGCGCGCGTCGACTCCCGGAAACTACTGTGCTATATAGTCACTAGCACCGGCTGCACGACCCCGGCCGCGATCTAACCCCCTGTCTATATAGGTGGCCAAGTTTTTTTTTTTTTTTTCCCACCCCGACCAAGCTCGAGGGCAGTGCGTAAGTGGACGAGAGCCAAGGGTCTGGCACTTACTCTGTGGGAATTTTTAGATCTATAGGGGGTGACATTTATATTGGCGTGATTAAGGGTAGGTGATGCTCCGTTAGAGCACGACACATGGCCATTACCACATGTTTTGCGAGCATCGTATGGAAAAGGAACTTTTTCGGAAGATTGATCGCCTTGTGTGTAAAAAGAACTGCTTTTTTGTATTTTCTTTTATTTTTCAAACCGACGATTTTCCGATATATCTTCTTGTACAACACAAAAATGCTATGATCTTACGTTCATTCTGTTGTTTGGTTATTGTAAGCAGCATTGAAAATTTTTTTATACAAAACAATTGGTTGGCATACCTATAATTTTATTTACAAGCATCGACATAAGTCTCTATGGCCGGGCTTGTTTGAAATATTTCAAACACTTTATTTTAATCTAGTTGCTCTATGTGCACTATATATGTGCACATGTGTATAATACACAAGTATAATATGTGCACCCACAGCCCATTATTGCGCATCGATGCGCGGGTACACATTATCCTCGCTACGAAAAGAGATATGATAAGTAGTATTGAGTGCATATACTTAAGTGTAGGCACACATCATAAAGTTGCATTGGATAACGCCAGGACACGGGCTGCAGGTGCGAGCCTTTAGAAATACCCCTTTTTTCGTAACTCGTTTCTTTGCTTCTGCCGCTGAGTTAATGCGAAAATTAATTATTCATACACCCATCGATTTATATTTCCTCGGTATACAGCGATCGTTTTATAATTAGGATCAATCAGAATGCGCTATCAATAACATAAATGTACACAGCTAATAAATCCTCCTAAAGGGAATAGACAATAGAGTTTCATTTTTTCTTCAATTACGAAGTGAAATGAAAATAAGAAAAACTTGTTCAAGCGGAAGACGTGCAGGGCAAAATATAGTACACCCATAACGTCATATAGTGGTCTCATTATCCCGACGGAAGCGCAGATGGCTCGAGGAAAGGAAACGGGGAAAAAACACACGCACGCCCGGACGGATAGAAAGACCGGCAGACACAACGTACACGCATGCACATAAGATAGCCTGGTATTAAAGCGTCGTCGAGTCGCGTGCCGTACGTTATGTATGTATATACATACCTCCACCAAGCACCGACAGCACCTCCTCCTTCGCCTTTCGCACAAAGGATACACACATACTTAGGACGTGAAAACTTTTGTCGCACGCTCGACCGCGCACTGTAAAAAACGACTCGGTACTCGCGTATATATATATATATATACATATACATATACATACACGCGTGCATCATTATCATTATAATTATTACTGTATACCTTGGTCGGCACGTGTGGGCGGAATCAATTTTTTACGCTAATTGAGCGTAACGCGCGTACGTGATATCGCTTGCTCACTCGATTACTTCATACGTGTACGTATATTCTTTGGATACAGTCCCTAAATATTTTTCTCGCTCGCTAATTTTTTTTTTTCCTCAATTTTTTACTGAAATCTTAAAACAAACAAAAAATTTACGATAGCGTTGTACAAAATTGACACCATCAACCAAGTAGACGAGTTAAAATTGAATCTTACTCCGAGAAAAAAAAAAAAAAAAAAAAAGCCCATTGAATCCTTGGATGGATCTACTTTTGTTGAAGTGAACTGACCAATGGGGATGGACGTCGTAGGCCACATCCCAAAATAGCGGGTGAGAAAGGGGGAAAAGGGACCCTATATTTTTTTGTTTACCGCAAGAGTTTCTGATGTTCCCCGGGGATTATTGATCGAAGGCCAGATCTTTGTTGGGAACGCGTAGTGCTTACACAAGTGAGGTGCGAGAGATAGAGATCGCAGCAAAAAAAGTTACCTCCCCGTGTGTAGGGGGTGGTAGTGGGCGGGCGGCTTGTGCTCGCGACACACGAAGGATGAGCAGGAAAAGACGAGTGAAGCGTCGGACTGAAAATGGCGGATCTTCTCTCCCCGTCGCGGACTCGGTACTCGATAAATTTATTTTATTAAAAAAAAAAAAAAATTCTCGCTCTAGTCGTAAGAAATGACCATTTTGGCCATTGAGGAGATGCGTACATTTGTTATTGTTGACGACTTTTTTAATTGCATCCATTTCATCGCAATGCGGATGTGAATCAATCATTTTTATAGTCACGCAGAGAATTTGCTTACAGTCTTGCGATTATTTCGTGTACAATTAAATGACGTTTTACCACTTTATAAACCCATAATATGTGCTATGGATATTTTTATAGAGCCCGTGCAAAGATTTATTAACGTTTTACGAATACTTATTGACAACACAAGCTCAGCTAAATGTGTTAATAAAATTTTTAAATCTTAAATATGGAAGGGGTAATCAAAATCTTATAAAAACTTGAGTATTTATACAAAAAACTATAATGGTGCCTACTTTCATTAAATTTGATTAATTGTTTGATCATCCAAACAAGGACACTGTGATCAATAAAAATATCGAAAGCACTATTCGTGAAAATGTGAAGTATAAGGAATCAAACGCAAGGTTATTTCTTGGAAATAACATTTTTATAATGTTTATTCTTAGCGAGTTGCATTTTTAACACGCCTACGATGTTGTTTTAATTTTTATTATTTCGGAAACTCCAAAGAAACGATGCAGGATAAGCTATTTTGTTTACTAATGGCAATTCCCATCCATAAACACAGTAAATCTCTGATCGGATGGTTTTAATCTAAGACAGATGGGAAGATAAAAAAACCAATCGCTGCATGCATTCAATCCTTACATCACCAACAAAATGCTTAAAGTTACAAGCTTGACATGTCAATTAATCTTGATGCGAATCATTTGATAAGAAAATACGAATAAATAAGACGTAGTGAAAAGATCCCGCGTAACGAAATTCCAAAGTTCGTCGAACTTTTTGCTCTACCTTTTTCCACCCCTTTATATAGGCATATTTTCCAACATGAAGCTTGTGCATCCAAAAAAGGCATACGTTCCAAAATCACGCCACCATATAACATCCGGGTTATGGATTTCGCGCACCTCGCAAATAACATAAGCACCAATCCGAATTTACGTTCTTGATAAAAAAAAAAAAATTTTGGCAAATAAGTACCTAATAAAAGGAAAAAGTCCGCAACATCCGTATATAGAGCAGCCTTATAACAGCCCGAGCAGAGAGATGAAAGGGGCGGACGCCATGTTCTCGTGGGGCGGGCGAATGGCTCGCGACCGCGTCGCCTCCCCCTTGGCGTCCCATTGGCGAGAGCCGCAGTAGTATTGGTACGCAGTGGTCGGACGGACGCTTCTCCCACCCCCCCCCTCTCTGATCAATGGCGTGTGGTGTACGGTGCAGGTATATTATTATGTACGAATACCCAGGGGAGAGAGCGAGCCCCCGAAGCAGGTATGTTTGCCCTCACCTGTCCGCAAGGAGAGAGCGTGTGCCCCTTCTATATACACATTTCTACCCCCTGGCGAGTATAGTGCTGGTCAAAGTGTATTTACGTATACACACAAACACGCACGAGGTTAAGGTTTTTCGTGTTTAAAGATAAGGGATGGACGCTGTTCTCGTAACGCGTAATGGACGTCCTGGATCGATGATGGATGATTTTTTTTTTTGTACCCTTCGATCGATGGGGACAATGGAAAGGGGTGTGACAGCGTTTGATGGCCATTTTTTGTCGTCGTTTTACCGTATTGTCCTTAGGAGTTTCACAACAAGACAGCGACCGATGTATACAGCAAACATGTCTTTGAATGAGCAGCTCTTTTTTTTTTTTTTCTTGCAATCAACGATGGAATGAATAATGAGACGGGCGCGACAACAGAGACAATTTTGGTCATAGTCCTTGCGATTATTTCTTCATGGATATTGTCCCTTGTGTCCAATCGACTGCTTCCATGTGTATGTATGTATACGTGTGAGTCCGAATGCATGGCGCATACACGTCAGCTGATACGATCTAATTTTCTCAACGGACCCGCACGAAAAAAAAAAAAAAAAAAAAAAAAATTCACAACGACCGACCACACACTGCAAGCGGAATTATCCTCCCCAACGGTGCTTCCGGTTTTTTCGCTAGCGCGTGTGGCTGTTTTTTCCCTCCTCTGTGCACAAGCTGATCACCACCTGGCGTACAAGCACATGGGAGGGTATATAGGCAAGTGGCACGTGCACTAGCGTCGGTTGTCGTGGACAAGTTGCATTAGCCGGTCAGGGTTCGTTATTGACGGGCTACTTTTTAAAACATCGCTAAAGAAACGAATTACTCTCTTTTTTTTTTTTTTTTTATTTACTCTCAACAATCGATAAATGAGTAAATAAACTCGCGATTATATTTTTATTGCAGCGAGGAACAACGAATGTGCATGTTGATGTTGCAAAAGCGCTCGGCTAAGCGTTCATTCGTCGCGAGTGAGTCACGTATGACATTAATATTTACCGTAATAAAATAACCTGCACCAATGTCACGGGTCATTATGTTCAAGGTTGTACTTAATACGTAATGCGAATCGAGCTATTATTTGGCACAAAAGTTTTTCAAATGTCGATTTAGCGTGGAAATGACGAAAAAAAAAAAAAAAAAGAACTTCAAGTAAATTATGTCCTCCCTCTTCTCTAAAAGTAAATAAAATGAGGGTGAAATAAAATTTTCTCACCCCTTCAATTTTCATTGTATACGTCTGAGTCATTCTATACACTTGAGTCAGTCATAGTGTGAAATTTATCAGTGTATTATTTATTAATTTTTTTGTTTTTCTGTAAAACACGTGTGCCCCGTATGATAGCATGATTGCGAAATTAAACGTGAAATCGTTGCACATAGTGTGCACAGCGTGTAAATCGTAATAATAACTTATTCGAACTTTCGAAATTATAAGCAGATTTTAATAATACAATGTGGTAGTTTTACAGTACGCAAGCACGTAAATATATATCGATGAATGACGTACGCACATGTGGACATATTTATAAATGTACTAATTTGGTTCTCACTTTATTATCAATGGCGTACGAGGGTATAAGAGAAGCGAACGGTATATATGGATGTACACATATCTAAACGTAGACTGTATATAACATAACGCGGTATATAATTCGTGTCACCTATATATATATATAAATATATATATATAAGTGAGGCAATCGACAATCAATATATACGAGCGAGATGTTGTAGACCTTTTTTTTAACCGAGAAATCCATGTTCACCCTTTTTTCCGTGTGAATTCGACGGCGATGAAATAATTTACTGGTCAGATCGGTCAGTCACGTTGACCGCTTGATCAAGTCATGCAAAATTACTTTTCGATACCAAACACCGCTAGCATTAGTCTCGAGCAGTTAATAATCCACGGTATTGGTAAAAAATAAAATAATAAAAAAGGAGAGGAGGGTTTTGCAAAATATACATGTGTATGGGTATACCGATTCTTTTGCCCACGAGCTCGTCCAAGCTTGTCGGAGGGTTGAGAGTTCCTTACCCACTTTTTACGACCACACACGCAACAGCCGGAGGGTTATTCTCGAATTAAGTTTAAAAATTACGTTTTACCCCTGAAAACGAACGTTCGTCGTGGATAAACGCTTATTTTCGATCGGCAAAACCAACGATTCACCGAACAACCGCCGAACGAATTTAACGACCGATCTTCCCTCTCCATTTCCAACAGTAACGGAATCGGCGATAAGGTCATCGCACTTGTAAACTCACCAATCATTCCATCCTCAGCTGTCGCGCGCTAGTTCCGCTTCAACCGATCTCTCATTCCTAATGACTCGATAAAAAAAAAAAAAGGTTCTACGTAATCATCGGAAAAGCCAAAAAAAAAAGGTGTATACAGACGTAAAAAGAAAGACGGTCGGCTGCAGCCTAGTACGGACAGACAGCGGGCGAATGTATAATACAAACACATGCCGTAAGGTCCACCTGCGCCGTTGGGCACACAGGAGCGAAGGGGGCTCCCTTTCCCTCCATCTCTTTCTCGCGCATTGAGGTCCTATACTCGTTCTCTCCCTCTCTTTGGTACATAATATTAACAGTCGAGGAAAGAGAGACGGGGAGCGAAAATGAGAGTATTATATACATACAAGTCCGCGAGGCACCTGTCGAGGGGAAAGACCGGCGTCGGTGGCGACGCGGACTGTTAGTTGGCGCGCGCGCGCGCCCGCGTTTGTAACGTTATAGTTCAGTCGGAGCTCGAACTCGCTGCGGCCAACACCGTCCGTATGATCAAAGTAACGAATTTCCGTTGAGTATACGCGCGTTTTTTCAGTTCGAGCGAAGCTTTACAATTGTTCAGATGGATGTATGTGCGCTTGCAAGTCGTCGTGCTCCATCAGAGGAAAATCGGGTTGTTCCGACATCGGTACACGCGAAAAAGGTATAATGAAACTCATTGAAATCGCGCGCGTATAACGATCTTCCGAGGATAAAACGAATCTTTGAAATTCCAAACGGTACACCGAGGGCTTTGAATCGAAACAACGCGCTGCTTGACCATTTTTTTTTTGTTTTTGTTTCCCTTCCAACTCTTGGTTTCTCAAACACCACACAATTCATAAGACCGCGTACACGATAACGATAACGATCGCACCCCCAATGGCTCTCTCAAACCGATCATTGTTCCTGCAGCTAAGAGGACCGATCGCTGAACAAGGCTCCAGCATCGCTGACACAACTGTCATGAGCTCCCTCGCACCGTAACCCGTGACCATAATGGTGCGAACGCGAAACAGTTCGGCGGCGGCAGTCGCGGAAGAGGAGTCGCGCGCCCACAGCAGGGAGCAGCTGGATCAGGCGGAGGCGGCGGCCGCGGCGGCAGCGGTTGCGTCGTTGGCCGCTGGTACCAGCAACGTAGCGCCGATGGTCCAGGAAGACGACGAGGAGGAGGAGGAGGACGAGTTTGGGGTCGAGGCCGAGTTGACGAGCCTCGCCTGGCTGCAGTCACTCGACATAATGAGCGCCTCGGGCCTGCCAACGCCGCCCTGCTCGCCTTCGCCGCCACCCCTGAGGCCTCCCCCGCGGCAACAGCCGAAGAAAGTGCCACCGCTCGTTAAAGCGCAGCTGGGTACGTTTATTTACATATATGTACATTGGTTTTTTTTTTTTTTTTTCTTTTTCCTTTTTTTACTCATTGATAAATTTTTGGTTGTTTTTTTTTTGTTTTTTTTTTTGCAGATCTCGCTGAAAACGCGGAACTGTACATGGTCGACGCGAATAAAAAGCCTCCCTACTCGTACGCGGTGCTGATTAGCCTGGCGATGCGCGCCAACAACAACAGGGTCACCCTGTCCAACATTTACGCCTGGATAAGGGAGAATTTCAAGTTTTACAAGTACGCCGATCCGGCTTGGCAGGTAGGCACAATATTACATTTTATTTTTAAAATCTTGTCCATACGTATCATCGGCGATACCTGCAAAAACCATTAAAATAACAATTCGTTTAAATGTCAGACATTAGAGGACACGTATAAAAATGGCACCGATTTAAAGTTAATGAATAGTTTGACGTCCCGATGCAATGATCGCAATTTCATTACCCTAGAACTCGATCAGGCACAACCTGTCTCTGAACAAGTGTTTCGTGAAGCTGCCACGGTCAAAGGACGAGCCGGGCAAGGGCGGCTTCTGGAAGCTCGATCTCGACCGGCTGGAGGACGGCCGGCGCACCCGCCGACGCAGCTCGACGATCAAACGCTCGCGGGTCCCTTCGAAACGATCGGCTACCAAAACAGCGGTAGTTGCCGAGGTGTCCAGTGCCGTGGTGATCGAGACGGAAATAACGAGGACTGAGGAGGCAGATCACGTGGCCAAGATACTCGCGAATGACGGGACGAACGGGCCCAGGTGTATCGTTTTGTACGAGACGCCTCCGTCGAGCGTCTCGCCGCCGATTCCCGATACTTTGGCCGAGGTGCCGGAGACTAGTCAGGTGCGTTTATTGTATTTTTGTTGCTGGGAAATATTTTTTTTTTTTTTCGTTTTTCATGCATTGGTGGGGTGGTTTTGTCTCTTTTTTTTTTTTTCTTTATAAACATTTTGAAGAAATAAAATCAGAGCAGTGCAGCTTGAAAACTTATTATTCCCCTATGGTAAAACTTGTGCTACAAATGTAAAAAATTTTTCTTAACAACCGTCAGGTGAGTATAGACGAAAACGACATTACGGACATCTTGATCGACACAGCCTGGGACGAAGGTGTGGAGAATCAACTCGCGCTTCTGGACTCGGTGCTGGACATGCTTTGAATCGTCTCTGCTCGAGGAAGAATTTTTTTTATTCGCAATGATTGTACCGGTCATCGGCTTGTGTTGATTTTCAATGTCGATACTTACCTTGTAAGTAAACCAAGTATCAGTGTATAGGTTTCTTATTTTACTTTTAAAACTCCATAAAATTTGAATTATTGAAACTTTTTTTTTTAGTTTGTTGTAGTTTTTTTGAATTTTAATGGTCAAGCGTTGAGACTTTTCTTGCAGAAATTATTTCGTTTTAGTGAGTAAATAATTATGAAAGTATAGATTAAAATCGATTTGGAATTGGTGGCATATTTAACTTGTAAGTGTAGCCGGTTGTACATATTTTTAGCGAATAGATGGAGTGTGATGAATTTATAAGCATAAGAGTCAATAATTTTAACGAGTTTTATCTATAATTTGTTTTACGATAACGTAATCTATAACTTACTGATTCTTTTCTTTAATGAAATATATTATTATACACATATTATGTCAAATACAACTTCAATAATTCTTGTGTTTCATGAATTTAATTTAGAATACAAATTTTGCATTTTGCAGTGCATTAAAAAAAAAATGTGTCGTAGTAGCACATGTACATGTTTCGCTATCAACAGGGTAACGTATTTATTATTTAAAAAATAATCACTGAAACAAATATGATAAGAAAACGTTTTAAAACAAAAATTTATTCATTTAAAAATGATTTCATAATCAATTTTTTTACTTTGTAAATATAGTATTTAATGTAAGTCTGTAGTATTCATACTTGTACATTATTAGTATTAATAATATCTGCAAAGTCAACGATGCATATCGACTCTGAAATATGTGTGTGTGTGTATATACATATACGTTCACTAACACCTGAGTAAATGTCCAAGTTAATGTGCAGCGAACAAGACTTTTGCGATGCCTTACAGAATCCGTCCAAAGATTAGTTTTAAGTGACGTGATACACGGCGAAATTCGTATAGCCTTCGAATGCTAGCCGGTATACACGCGCAAGATGATAACGTAATATTAGACCAAGTATTTAAGGAGCACTTGTGCACTTGCAATTTATTTTTAATTACAATTTCATCTTTATAAATGTTTTATCAGTTATGTTTCTTTTTAAAACAAAAAATACTCTGACACCACGAGTCCATGTCTAATATTCAGAAACACAATTTAACTATTAATTAATTAATATTATTATTATTATTATTCTTAAATACACTTTTGCACCGATCTAATTGTAAGTGTTGATCTATATTACATGTAACTTCCAAATTACATAGGTCAAGATATAGATATTCGGTCGTAATTTATTAGTATATTATATATTTTTTGTTTAGTGTACCATACTTGAAAGCTTAATTTTAATTTCGAATGAAATTTATATGTAACAAAGTAAATATATTTAATATTTTTATTCCTGCGTGATTACATAAAGTAGATATACACTGCTTAATCGTTTGATTAATCAACTAACATATGTACACATAATATAATTGATGATAATCAACGAGTGGGTGCCATTTACAAATATGCATGATTGGTTGGCTGATGCTTTCATAAAAAATGTATAACATTATGTGCCTTATAACAGCGAAGAAAAAAAAACCTTAATGAGCGACTTTTCAATCTTTTTAGCTGTGGACGTAGCTGCAAAATATTGTGTGGCAATTACGGAAGCGTTATCAGGAATAATACGAAAAGACGCCGCAGAATTAATAATTCATTAGTCATTGTATTGATATCTTGAGGTGTATGGTGTAATGTAATGATAAAAAATACAGTATAAAAAATCTCTTAAGACTTATTATTTTCTCACAGTATGCATATCCCTCATGCAGGCTGTTCCAAAATATATCATTAAAAATAAAAAAAATAGACGCAAGGGTTTTAATGATAAAATTGATCCATGTATACACAACATATATAACTTTTTATTGTCCAACAAATAATCGGCTGTAAAAATATATCATTTACAAAGAATGAAAGTAAAAGAAAACATTTTGCATTTAATGTAACAATATAGAATAACATATTACAATCCATGTAAAATTATGAAAATATTTTTATGCATTTTTGTGGGTAAGTAATGTGCTTTATGTGTTTTTAATTTTTTAACATTGATTTTTAACATTAAGTCTAACTATTACCGCAAGTGTGTCTACTTAAAAATAAAATTTGTTATTTCACCGATAGTGATAACTTTTCTTCTATAAATCTTATCAATTTGTTTACTTAACATTATTGTTTGAATTTTTTATTAAAAATATATTTGTACATTGGCTGCGCAAGACAAAGTATAAATCTCATGTTGTATAAAATAATTGTACAATCTTATAATTGAGACTAAAAGCGCTCATTCCGTAACACTTACATTATACAGTTGTACAATCTGTAAATTTGTACACATATAACTTTTTATATATATTTTTAAAAATAACTATAAAAATATATGTGTATTAGCATATATAATAATTATATTGTGGAATGTATTCGTCAATGACTATTACAAATAAATGTATTCGTCACATGATTTGAATTATTGAAGAAATTAAAATGTATTTTGTACGACGGTAGTTGAATTTGTACGAAGAATGTGTACGAAGATTACACATAGTCTACATAAAAAGCGTTCAAGAAGAATTGATGCTGGCAACATTCAGAGTAACATTCAGAGCAACATTCAGTCACATCTTACTATCATCATTGATCAGTAAAATTAAGCACACTTTTGTGCTGCGTATAAGCTTGGGCCACTTATAAAAAAATTGTATTATCCATAACTATCTACTTCGTTGGCGGATAAAATCCAAAATTCAATCGCAAATTTTCAAGAAACAGGAACGTTAAAATTGTGTGCGGAGCAAGTCGGACAAAGGCTGGAATATATCCCTACAAATATCAAAGTATTAGTAAATGACCATGAGAACAAATACATGGTCGCAATTTAAATTTTTCAAGTACACAATACCTTGAAGAACCCAAGAGGTCCAAGTTTTGCAGTGTATAAAACGAGGTGCATCATACTCTGGAATAAAAACGCATGCTCATTTTATATGCACAAATATATCGTAAGGTAAAACTACATTACATCTTACTCTACCTTGAATTCTCCTGGCTTTGCATTCATAGCACGAGTTTTCAGTACATCTAAAGGCTGTGTCAAAGTGGTAGCAATGGCACCCTACAATCGATATGAATGATTGAATTTTTTCACAGGCAAGAGGCATATATGATTATTTCAAATATACTCACTGCTAGTAAGCTGGACAGAAAATGTGTTGTCGTATTGTCTTTGAAGTAATCAGTTTTTAAAAGGCTTAATTTTATCTGGTCATAAAAACTCAACTGTCCCATTGTCATGAGAACTGCTCGACTCGTAGCCATGGAACAACCACTAAATAACATTCTAAATCCTTCTTCCTTATAAATGCGTAATAATCCATTTCCAGCCCATGTATAACTAATAATGGATACGTTAGTTATTAGTAAAAGTTTTGTGTGATTTTTAAAAATTATTAAAGCAAATTTTGACAATCAAACTTCAACATAAATTCAATAATTCATTTTCAAAAATTAGCCTCATGTTTTAAATAATTAGATTGTTTTCAAAAACGTTTACTACTGGTTGTAGTTGATACCTTCATTGTATAGCGAGTTCTTACGCGATCGATTACTATTGTTTTGTTTTTCATTGGGATGTAAGTAGGTCAAAAATATACATAGTGAAACTATTAGTTTAGATGCGCGTACTTAAAACACTTGTTCGTCACACAAATGTGAGAGCATTTTCTATGCGATTGAGGGCGTTAATAGCGAAAAACGATACTGTATAGAAAATGTGTATGTCTGCCAAAATATTTGGCTTGTATTTATTTTGATTGTAAAATACCTCTAAATTTCAGGCCTCTTCGGATTTTGAACTCGAATTGATAACCGCAAATGATTTTCAATGTTAAAAAAGTATTTACACTAATTTTTTAAATGAATTTTTATAAAAAGCTTTCTACATAATTTCTAGGAGCATTTATGTATCTTACAAAACTCTCCATTAGTGATAAAATTAAACTCACCCCCTTCTTTTGTCCACTGGTAACTTGACATCATTTTGCATTCTCACATTAATTAAATCACCTGGAGTACCAACGATACCGCCAACAGCGCCAGAAAATCCGGCTAATAAAAATTTCTGATAAAAAGGGGCCGGATTACCAGGTGATTCAATTGCTTGCTTTCCCACCTTAACATTTTAATTATTCATAAGTTAAATAATACATAAACACACATCAATGTCATGAATCTTGAACATGCAAAACTTGCCTCATAAACGCCAAATCTAACAGTGGAATACGTGAGCTGTCTAAGTAAAGAAGCCGATAGTCCATTGTATAAAGCTAATACCCCTTGTTGTTTTATTATATTGAAAGTCATTTTGGTTACTGAAAGTTTTCCCTCTTGTTGAGTTTGCAAATGAACCTGGAAATAATGATATCTAATCGATTTTTTACTACTTACAGCTGTAATAACAATGCAGGTCTGATAGGCATTATGTAACGTAAAATGGAAAAGTTTTTATTTGAATAAGAAAAAAATTTTATCTTCTTGAAACCTTCAATCAGCATCAAATAACAGTGAATTGTGATTATGATATAAAAACACTTTTTATTCATCTAAAATCAGGAGTAGAATAATTTTTGCGCTTCATGTTTATTTAAAAAATTTATTTTAATATAAAAAAGTTGAAAAACGTTATAACATTCAATAAATATATATAATAGTACCACACTTCTTAGTTGGCATTTTAAAATCCAATTCTAGCAAGATATTTATCAAGAAACTCATGAAAGTATAAATAAATTGTTTCATTTGCTTTAATATTGAATTACAACGTATTTAATGACAAACAGAAATTTTAGAAATAATATATTTAGAGATTTTCGAAACAGGATGTAATAAAATTTGGTCATACCTTCAATAAATCTAATGGATGAGTGATACAGGCAGCACCAGCAGATGCTAGTCCACCAAAATACCATCTTGAAAGTCTTTTAGTATTGTCTATTGGCAGCTCTGCCATTTTTTTCATTTTTTTCTTTTTTCTTTTATTACAGCCTAATCAATCAATGGATCTGCAATGAAATAGTTAAATCAAGTGAATAAAACAAGAGGAAAAAGCGGGTAGTTAAATTTTTGACAACGGAAGCATTCATTTTTAACATACTTTTTCATGGATGCTTACCTATGCATCTTGAGTCAGCATTAGGCTGGCTGGCCGAAGGCAACTTTGGTGGTATAGGAATGGTCTGTGGAGAATCTCTTAAATGAAAAAAATGCAATTAAATTTAATATTTAAAAGAGAAAAACTCTGTGTTTTATTTAACTAAAGACGGTGAATAACTGTGCTAAATTTTAAAAGAATATTATTTGCAATGCCATGTTAAAAGGAATCTATTAAAGATCTATTAACCATCCAACTGATGCTCCAAAAATTTACCTGCTTAATTAAAATTATTTATTTTCTTATAAACCGACATTTTTTAAATGTATCTTACGAGTACACTTACAATTCACCACTACCAAAAAAAAAAGTAACACTCTCGTTCTCATCACTGTCTCACATGCATCTTTAAGATATAATTTTTAAATTTAAGTGAACTTTTCTCAGAAAAGCAAATAACAATCCAATAAGTATGCACTTGGGGGCACTAAAACTTTTCACTTTCATTTTACACATGCATTCACTTGCTGTACACGTAGACGCACGCAGTATATGGGAAAGAAAAGGTCACAGCAGGGAGTGGAAAGAGGGAAAAATGTATCGGTGCATTCACTTTTCCTCAATATACTTAATACGCTTTATACTTACCGATGATGGTGAATGCGTGCTTTTTGGATGAGGGGCACGAAAAATCTCTACAAACCCTGCACCTTGTACGGCTACCAGCAGCGCCAGCCTCTGACTGACACTACCCTGACTGAAATTCTGGCTTCTGCTACGTCGGCTGCTCTCTCCCCCCTCTTTCTGACTCTTTTTTTTTTCGCGCTTTTTGGGACAGTAGAGGGAGAAATATTTGAATGTTGTACTTAACTTACGTGTTGAATGACACACGCACGCATTGAGGGGATTTCAGATTCAGATATATTTTTATTATAAGTAAGTATACAACTCTTCACGGCTTGATATGGAAGCTGCTGACGACGCGTGTGTTGAATTTTATTTGGGGAGGAAAAAATAAATAATTTTTTTTTCCAAGCATTGAGTGTAAGCTCAGTGCTTATTGATTGCTTTTTCCTCGTCTTTCTTTGATGATAAGCAAGTTTCAGAGTGACGTCAGAAAGCTCGCACTCGCAACATATTGGAGACGAGAGTTTGGATCAAATGACGTCAAAACAGTGTAAGTATATGTGTACATATACATCAAGGGGATGTACCCATGTACCTACCTATATCATCTATTTTTAGACGAGTATAATATATTTAAAGGGCGAGTGGGCGACGTTGGATGAATACGACTAGGTATCATTTTTTTTCTCAATAGTTACATGTACTACAAACATCATGAGTACAAGTAGTGAACTTGATTTTAAAAAATATATTGAAAACAATGTATATACCAAGTAACACAAAACAAAAATACTATTGATTTATCAGTGTAATTATAGTCGTCCTTACAATATATTTTCATATTTTCAGGGCGAAATTTTTAATTGAAAGCACGATTCGAAAAAAATTATATCGAAAGATCTGAAGTTTATCTGAAGTTTTAGCTTAATTCATTTGACAAAAAAAAACACTATCTTTTTAATGATCTGCACACTCAATCGGTGAAGCAAATCAACAATTATCCTGTGAAAAACCGAAAAACCTTGACGGATAAACACACGCGCTCTTCATTTACTCTAATCGAGTTGTTAGATAAGCGTCCTCGTAACGTTAAAATTATAAAAATAGAGTACTCCTGCCTGCACTTGAAGAGTATACATCATTTTTAATGAGTAATTTACTTCAACAAGTTCAGTTTATTGAATTTTCCGTCTCCCTCGAAATGCCGATCGACACGGCAGTAATGCAAATAATGTCTGACATGAATGATCGCAGTCCGAGTTCTTGACTCGCTGCCAATTTCGTTTCCGATTTTTTTTCTTTTTGCCATTTGATGATACTCGATTCACATCACGTGTGTGTTCAATATGCAGGCTTTGCGAAAAATCAAAACTGCACGTGATACGTGTGCTGACGTTTGATGAGACTTTATTTTGACCTATTTTTCTTTTTTTTTCAATTGAAAAAGCACTTTTTTTGTTTTGATAAAGCTTTGTGTGCATTGAGTTCGAGCAGATGTCAAAATTATCTTCCAAGAGCCATAATTATCTCGTAAGAGTTATTCGATAAGTCTATTTTTTAATTTTTTTAAATCTTTTCACACGACTGAAAAAAATGGAATTTCAAATGTACTCACAGATCACGTGAGTGTACAGGTTCTATGCCCGTGATTCGATTGCATGATGCGAATTTTAGTATTGTTTTAATACTTGTCACCTGCAGATAAGCGTGTACCTGAATTCTGAATTTTTTATTGAATTTAATTTTGAGATGTTTTTTTTTTTTTTTTTCCCAAGTAAACGTGTTAAGTAAAGGAAGAATTATTAGAAGAAAAAAATATATATATATTTTGATGTATACGGCTGCTAAGGACAAAGCGTAGGTCATTGTGGTAATTATAAACACTTTCATATTTTTAACAACATTCCACTTTATTGTGTAAAAAGTTTAATAGCACTTTATAGATAACATCGGATTTTTTTCGTAATAAAATAATAATTCATCGTTTACGCGAAAAGAAATTTCATTACCATTTTCAATTGAAATAAGTAAAAAATGAGACCTCATTTAGAGTGCATAATTCAGGATTTCTTAAAAATTTTGGTCCATATTTCGCCGTGCAAGCCTCTCCAAGACAAACGAAACTATACAAAAAATGCTATAGAATAAATCGAATCAATTTCAATTACAAGAACATATTTAATATGTACAATATATTTCTGTAAAATAAACTGTTATATAGCATTCCGCTAAACTTTTTTGCCTCATTTTTTAAACTTATTTTGATTAAAAATAGTTCCTGATGGAGTTAGTGAAAAGTATTGATTTGATGTTATTAAGATGCAATTGTATTTTTGGTTTGCGCTGTAGTAATTGGTTGAAAATTTTCGCAACACATAATACAAGTCACGTTTTTCTTTCAACGAAGATACAGTACTGTTAAAATTTTTTTTTTCAGTGAATACAAATTTGTAGAAAAAGATACAAAGGTTCGTTCAAGAAATGCGCCGTTTTATTCTCTTTTCTCTGGTCTTTGATTTGCAAACAGGGCTGCAACGGTTCTGATTTTTCGAAACTATTGAAGCTGGAGTGCTAACTACTCATATTCATAAAAACTAAAGAGTACAGCTTAAAAAATTAGCAATGAAAAATTTCTACACTTATTCTTTGTCTTTTTGTCATAATATTATAAGCGTTACAAAATTGGTTCTCCATTTTTGATAAATCATGTTTTTGAGATTGCAGAGGTTACACAGAGGATAGCCCTTAACCAGAGTAAAATACAGAATGTGTTTAAAGTACTTTGAAGTATAAGTAAATATTTGTTTTATCGAATCGTGCGTTGTAGTCTTTCATACTTAGATGCAAAATTGAAGATTTAACTTAGTCAAAAAATAGCTCATGAATAAAATGTTTTATGATTATAGGCTAAAATTAACAGACAAAAATAATTATACTATCACTTGGTGAAGAATAAACTTCAGCACAGTAAAGATCGTAAGAATAGCTATCCAAAATATTATTTAACAAGTAACTGATCAGAAAAATTCAACTGGAACATTTCGATCATTTTATTTCTTCTAATTTCAACTCACACAAAAATAAAAAATTCTTTTTTTTCCCCCATAAAAAAAGATGAGTTTCTATTAGACTTATTTTGCACCTGTTTGTTGTAAATATGTTAAATATATATATAAATTACCATTACAATCGTGATTAATGCATACATAACTTTTAAACACCAAGTAATACACGATAGTTATTGAAAAATAATATACTTCGGTATTCTTGAGTAATAAAAAACTACAAAATACTCATAAAAGTGGTCTTCCTAAAAATGTAGTTAATTTGAAAGAAAAGTGGCGTGCAATGGTCAAGTAGTTCGTACAAATAGAAAAAGTTTTAGCCACAAAATCTAAATAAAACAAACTGTAATGCAAAAAAGCCTTTTAGGGACTCACCTCTTTTAATATATTTTAAGATTTTCTTAAAAAGCCATCATTTGTGATGGAACAGCACAATCACCAATACTCATTCTATGCATCGCCATTTCTGTTATTCCATGATAGTGCACAAAAGCAGCTGCAATGACAAACACGTGGAAGATTTGGTGACTTTGGAACTGTAACAACACAAAATAAAATTTTTTTTTATTTTCTTTTTTTTTTATTAAATACTACTGTTAAAGAAAAAAAATATGTGTATGTACCCAAATATCGAATTTTCCAGGGAAAAATCGTTCAGGAACACGTAAAGCGTAAAACACAGCCCCTAATATATACAAACAGCCCATTAAAATTAACCATCCTAATGAAGCGTGGCTCAGAGCTTTGAACCATCCTTCTGAAACTGCATAGTGTACAGCAGGCACTATCTATAAAATATATGCATAAAACAAGTTACTATGAATCAGTACTTATTTAGATTTAGTAAAAATAAATGTTAAAAAAAGAACATACCCCACTAAGACCAAAACCAGCAAAAACTCCAGCTCTCAGTGGTCTATATTTTGGTTCACCAAACTTTTCCCACAGAGAGACAATAATACTTGTTATTCCAAGCACTACTACTACTGATAAGTAAATCAGTTTAGGTTGGAAATCGCAGTAAAATCCGTAATATAGCCATGGCACAAAACTTCCCATTATCAGCATAGCTATGCCACAATAATCTAGTTTGGAAAATAGCTTTCCTACACACTCGCTATGACAATGGAGCGTGTGGAATGCAAAAGACATGCCTAGACAAATAATTGCACCACCAAAGAAGAGACCAAAAACCAGTTTTTCTTCCCATCTTATATCCATTGGAGACTGAGTCAGGAAGTAAATTGCTATTCCTATGAATGCCACACATCCTGCAAAATTATTTGAAATATTATGTGTCTCTTAGGTCACAAAAATTGACGACATTTTCTAATAAAAATAAATACTTACCTAATAAATGTGTCCAAATATTACCAGTTTCAGTATGAATTCGAAAAATACTTTTAAAACATGCATAAAACGAAGGTAATGGTGGCCTATGTCCAGCATGTAGAAAATCATTGTCTTGTAACCATTTAGGCAAATTTCTAAAATGACATTGTTTCCAAGATGCTTCCCAAACCTGATAAATTAAAGAATGTGTAATAGTATATCTTCCAAAGTACAAGTTTTGATTTTTATCTCTTTAATCGTGTGTAAAGTAGGTAAAAAGGCTTGAATAAGTAATTTTGTGAATGTAATTTAATATTACTTTCAAATTTTTTTTAAGTAGTCAAGAAAAATTTTTTAATTTACTGTTCAATACTACCTTTCTAACAAACTCTTCTGCTTGCTCTGCAGCATTATGAGCTAAAGCCCCAAGATCTATTTCATCACTCAAGACTCCAGCTTTTAGTACTTCAGTCATCTATTGAAAATTAAATTTTAAGATGAGTTTACTATGAAAGACAATAATTTATAGATAATGAATTGCAAAATCCAGATTATTCATCATATAAAAGATTACCTCGCAATCCAAAAGTCGGTCATCTTCTGGAGTTGATGGCAGTGGACAGCCAACACCATCCTCTTCCTCATCTGCCAGACAGCTAGTGTCATCATCCTCTAGTAGTTCTTTAACTTCATGTAGACCTGGTACATCACTGCTCAAAGATATTCTATCGCTCCATGGAATACGATGACGAAGGTTATTTCCTTCAGGAGAGCTCACCCTGTATTCTATTTCTTCTACAATGTTGATTTCTTGTTCCATCATTTTGTGGTTTGCTTGATTCAGTTGCTAATGGTGATCGGTACCTAGGTTACATTAGCAGTGTATTACAAATTTTCTTATCAAGAAACAAATAAAATGTGATAAATTTTCTTTTTGTCACTGTAAGTAATTCTCAAGTAATCGAAATACACTTTAAAATAATTTAAAATTGAAAAAATATAATCGTTCTTTTTTATTATTATTTTTTAAACAAACGTATGTTTAGTAATTATATTGACAAAATTTCGAGGCTAATTATAGATACGACGAATATACAGTTACAGCCAATAAAAAATACAGCATGAACTATTTAATTGATGAGTTAAGTTTTCACAAATAATCAGCAATCAATCAAGGAAAGTTGACTTACATGCAATAAGCTCAAGCTAAACTGAAATGAGTGAAACCTCTGCCAAGCTTTTTTGATAAGAAGTAATATTTTTATTACAAAGTTAACACATTCAATAAACAAAACGGAACAGGCATCTAAATCCATCTAAAAAGCACTTGCGTGCAGTTTGTCATTCCAAAGTCATTGAAAACTATGAGCAACTGATAGGTAAATGTTTTTTCAAAACTAACACAAAACTATACAATGCCCTTCTAATGAAATGGACTTTGTTTTTATGCTAATTAACTATTTGTCAAACTTTGCTTTGAACTTAGGCTGCAGTATGCAATTACGAAAATCATTCTACAAAGTCTAAATACTTACATTAGTTGCATACACTAATTTACTTAAATAATAAATAGAAAATAAAATACATATAGCTAATTAGCTATGTCTGCACTTTGCAAGTTTTCACTAAATACGCAGTGCGCATATAATACAAATACACACATATTTTCCCTTGTAACTAAGGATAACTATAGTATTTACTACTTAGTGCGTCTTGTAAGCCAATAGACATAACAATAATGACAGTATATTTACTGGCTAACTAACTACTGGCAGTGTTTGCAGAACGCAGGCAGGTGTTATTAAGCCAAATGGCAGCAGCAGGCAAGACGAGGTTGTTTGTTTTTTTTTTTTTTTTTTTTTTGTAATAACAACAAAACACGACACGCGACTTACCTGACCACTGATCAACTACTCAATGAATAACCGATCATTTCACAGCACAGAGTTAAAATATACAAATGCACGAATGATATTCGTTCTGTAATTAAATTTTTTTTTTCAAATGAGTTTTTTTATTATTAAATAGAAGTTTTATACGCCTACATATATACTGTACATACATGGGTACACATACACATATATAGTTACATACCTTAGTTTAGTATATTATATTTTGACGTTTACGTCGACCTAGACCAGTATTGACGCTTGGCAAATAATAGTATGCTACATTTTATTACAGCAGCTACGATGCTGTTGCAGTGAGAGATTGAATTTAATATATCAATATGCTTAACTCAAAGTAGTAAGTATATCGTCTTGCTAACGTCACAAACGCAAAGATAATTAAAGTACAGTATATACAACTGATAATTATTAGAGTGATAACTTTTGTTCGTGCATGCTTTGCCTTTACTGCTCTTTGATCGTTATCCCCCCCCATTAGCACCGACTCTTCGCCATCTGGTAGATATTGTCGAAACTATCGTCAGCTGCGTTATACACACGCGTACAAAAGTATACGTATATTTACCGATACCCGATCCGATCCGATACTTTCAACGTATGTCAAATCAGTCAAGTCAAATGTCAACAAACTTGGAGTTTTGGTGTTTTCTCCTAACGTTTTGGAGTCATGCAACTAGTTCATTTGAAATTTCAAATACCCGTTGCTATCTTTGGTAGATGAAACACTCGTAACTGTCATATAAAGTTGAACGATTACCTTAATGTTTACCGAACTCAAAGAATCAAATAAATTACTATGAACTACGTTCGCCGTGAGTTTTTCTTTTTCGCTGAAAAATAATTAGTTAAAAAAAATAATTGAATGAGGTGAAAGTCATGCATTTTTATGTTAAAACAATGAAGATGTGTAATTTTTCAGAAACACCAACAGAAGAATGTCCACTAACTAAAGAAAAAAAGAGTTACTCTCTTAGCGATTGCTGTGGTTTTAGATCTATTATATGCTCATTTGTATTTCTCACAGCCATCATTACAGCAGCTCTATTTGTGCAATTGACATATGATGAAAATGCCTTCCAGGTATGTTTATTACATTACATGAAATTTATCTCATCTGTAAAAAATTAATCAAAAAACTGTTATTTTTTAAGGAAAAGTTAAATGCACATGGAGCAGTTGCAACAGACTACATAAATTGTTCCCAAATCGGTACTAGGATACTTCGAAAAGGTGGAAATGCAGTGGACGCCGCTGTGGCCTCCACTCTTTGTATGGCTGTTGTTGCACCACATAAGACTGGTCTTGGAGCGTGAGTGGCTTATATGATTTTAAAAGTGTTATCTTTTTTTTAATGGTTTATTTTTTTTCAGAGGAGGCTATTTTATGATCTATAGTCATGGAGACGGACAAAAGAAAATAGTGATAGATTTCTTGAGCAACAGAGCATCAGGTTTCTAATGAAATATTCGTGCATTAAACTCTTGCATTTGCAAATAATGCCAATTGAAATTATTGAAACATATTTTTAGATGAATTTGCAAAATCTAATATCAAGATACCAGCTCTAATGAGGGGCTTGAGGCATGCCCACACTTTGTATGGAAAATTGTCATGGCAAATTTTAGTTGAACCAGCTGCTAAATTAGCTAGAGAAGGATTCGAAGTATCCAGAGATTTAGCTTATGAAGCTACCAAAAATACTAATTTGGGAATTTTCGAACATGTTAATGCTGGACAAATTTTAATGCTGCCTGACCTTGCATTTATTTTAGAAGCGGTGTCTAAAAATGGAATACAAGGTTTATTAACTACTTATATTTTACTTTCAATGTGAATGCCTTGCATTATCATTTATCGTGAATTTCAGATTTGTACTTGAATGCGGCCATTGTGGAAAAAATATTTCAAAATAAAACAAATTTGAATGACGCATTTTACACTGAATATGCCAACTATGCACCAAAAGTAGTTCTAGCTGAAATGTCAACATTATCTAATTATGGTATTTTTTATCCACCAAACGTTAATGCGCTCAAAATGATCCTTAATGATATGAATAAGTTAAATATATCCAAGGAAAACGCATCTTCCATTGAAGTAGAAATAAATGTTGCAGAAAGTATAATTAAACTCATACGACAATACAAAGATTATCGTAACATCGTTAACTACAGTGAGTATTTTAACTTAATTTTATTTTACCCAAACGTTACAAAAATTGTCTAATTTCTCAACGTTTCTTTAGCTAATACAAGAAGATATACAAGTGTATCTGCAGTAGATTGGCAAGATACATATGTATCAGTAATAACGTGAGTAATTTAAAAACTGTTTATATCACAATAGAGCAAAGACTTGTTTGCTAATATCTTTTTAACTTATAGTGGCCTAAGTGGACCAGTAGATTTATCTAACATGAATGCAGCAGGATTTGCGTTTGATAGCAATAATGATGACGACAAATCTTTGAAGTCGCTTACACCAATTTTTTTCTTTGATCAGAAAGTAATCTGTGGTTTACGCGGAGTCTTTGCTGCTGACGATTCAATTGTCGCTGCGCAAATATTGTATGATTTACTCTTACGTTCCATGAATGTTTCTACAGCAATTGAATACCCAAGGTAATTAATGTAAATGAAATTTTTTTTTTTTTTTTTTTCAATTTTGAGAACAGTGTGATCAGATCTAATGATACAAACAGCCTTGTATTTACTAATTACATCTTCTAGATATTACATGCTTTCTGATGGAATAGCTATGGAAAATGACGATAAGCAACTTGGTAACAAACTTTTGTATGACAGTTTAAAAGCCGTTGATGCTGTATCCAAAGCTGATGCAAATACCATCATGAAAAGTATAAATATTATAATTAAACGAAAAAACTTAATCAGCGCCCATTCAGACAGTAGAGGACATGGATTAGCATCAAGGTTTTAATTCTTCTACTGAAAAAAAGTGAATGCTAACAGTATTTTTTTTACAAAGTTTTTATACTTGTTATTTATAAATAGTTTTAACTGAGAATTTGTACATTTTTTAAATATGATAAGTTTATAAATTGGTGCTAATGTTTTACACTTATATTTAGTTTAGAAACTGTTAAAATTGTATAAAATTCATAGGGATATTGATGTTTAGGCACAATTAAAAAATTTGTTACTAAATTTTTACAGTTTATTCACAGTTTTAACTTAAATAATTCACAGATAACTCAGTATTTATAAAGAAAATATCACAAACTTTTTTTGTTTATCACGATTTCGTTATCAACGACTGTTTAGTGTGAGTACTGTGCATGCTAAGTTGTTTTATTCTAGCATAAGCAGCACTTGCTAGCAAAACAATAACATTACTCAACCACCATAATAATGGTTTGTCTTCATTGTACCAGTGAGTGGCAAGAACAGTCTGTACACAAGCTTTTGCTGTACCACTGATATTATGAGTTAAAGGAGAAGTAACTTTGATTTGTAACATTGACACATACCCTATTGCAAATCCACACACACCACCAATGATCATGGCAATCCAGAAATCAAGATCACCTAGTTTGTCGTAATTATACAAAACAGTCAATTCACCATTAATGAGTATTAAAGGAATGAACAATACAACACTATAAACATTGTTGTAGTAAGATAGCAGCCAAATTTCTTGGTCTACATATGGAAGCACCTTTTTAGTCTGGATTGAGTACAGCGATAGTGTCAATGATCCAAGAACTCCAAAAAATGTTCCTACTAAAGAAAATGTTCCAGCAACATTTTCTTGATCGACACCCAACCAAAACCCAAAGATAATTATAAAGCAACACAAAATAATTTTACCACAAGTTTTTTCTCCTGAAAATAAAGTGAATGGTAAAGATGCAACAAACGCAAGAAAATTAAATTTCATTTATTAATACATACCTAAAATTATGTAAGTAAATACCACATTGAAAACGGTCGTGAGAGATCTTCCAATATAGTAAAATGCAACTCCAACATATTTTAAACATAAATTATTGGTTACGATCATTCCAGTAAATAGTATGGATAATGGTAATAGCTATCACATAAAAGAATAATTTATATAAAATGAAAAATTGTATGTAAAAAGTGATTCAATCAACACTCACCCTTTTAATAGTTTGGTGACAAAAGGGACTTCCATTTGGAAAATAAAAATACTGTGGAAATATATTTGAAAGCCCTTTTATAGAAAGACAAATGACAACACATGTAATGCATTGGCACCAAGTAACAAATAAAGGAGCATCAAGATGTAAGTTTTCACCAGATAATAGTGTTTTATTAACAAATACTGTCAATATAGAAATAAACCTTAAATTGTAAATTCCTTCAATTATTATATGATAAAAACTTATTAAGTAATTATGATTGTTTGTACTTACCAGTACAGTGTCACTACAAAAGCTATATACAAATATTTAAACAAAATTTCTTTGTTTTGAATCATTGTACTTAGTAGTAATTTTTTTTTGTCAACTCATAAAAACTATTATAATAATCTAATTTTACGTTGATTATAAGGTTATAGCTGATGTGTCGACGTGGATCTTATCATCACTTAAATCCAAATGCTTTATCTATAGTTAAGTGAAACTATAGTGATAAAATTGGTAATTAATTTCCTAGAAAAACGTTAATAAGTCAAGTTAAGTTAAAGTAAATGATGCTGTATACATGGATGTAAACATGCAACATAGTTGACATCGCTCGCGAATTGAGATGAGAACTTGAGAACACTTTTACTTATCATCTTTTTTTTTCAGAAATACTTAACATCTTCCTTTATTTTTGGAAAAGGGTTTCACCCACGGGTACTTCATCGTTTATCTTTAAAGGGCTGACAACTGACATTCCCCTTGTTTGTATCAATATTACTTTTTTTTATTTTACAATTTTACGGGGTATACAAGTAGGTGTTTTCCGTCTATATCAGTCTGAAGTCTGAGCCTGAAATATATACATATATATATATATATATATATTAACTTCATACATATATTTACTTTGGATTTTATCATTCTGGTAAAGAGAGTCTATAGTTTCATTATTAAAAACAAGGTGTCTGTTGTACGAAATGCAAGAAAAAAAAATATTGATCTCTATCAATTTGAATTGAATCGGCCGCCGAAGCTTTAACTGGCATTCTCTAGGTCTAGACTACTAGACTGCAGTTTTCCCATGTACATATGTAACTTTACAGCCTCTAATTTTTTCATTCTGGTAAATGGAGCACGGTGTGAGATATAGTAGTAATATAGTGATCACTACTAGTAGTGCCATATTGTCAATTTTATTAAACCATTTAAGTAGAATATCTATACTTTTGGAATTTGGAGGTCGATTTTTGGGTAAAAGATAAGTTGTACACTTGCCTCAAATAGCACAGACAATGACAACTTTTTGTTTTACATTTATGAAATTAGTTGCGGCTGGTTTGTAATTGATTAAATGGCTCTAATATAAGAAGTAATAATTATTTTGGATCAGCGCCATCTAGCGGTCTTTATTTTTTGGCCAAAAGTGGCTCCTAAAATTCTCAATCAGAGCATTCTGGATTAGAGCCATTTAGTCAATTATAAACCAGCCGCAACTCATGACGAAGCTATAAAATGAAAAAGTAATAATACATGTGTTTTTGGCGGCAAGTTAACAATCTATCTTATGCTTGAAAATTCATCTTTAAAAGTATAAACACATACGAGGTCGATTTTTGGTAGAAATTAGATTGTTAACTTGCCGCCAAAAACACATGTATCGTTGTTTTTTCATTTTATAGCTTCATCATNGCTCTGATTGAGAATTTTAGGAGCCACTTTTGGCCAAAAAATAAAGACCGCTAGATGGCGCTGATCCAAAATAATTGTTGCTACTTACAGTAAAGTCACTTTATTAATTATAAACCAGCCGCAACAAATCTTATAGATAGATAATAAAAATGTAACATTTTTTGTGCTACTTGCGGCGAGTTTACAATTTGTCTTTTACCTTAAAATCGACCTCCAAAACTATCAATATTCTACTTATCTTATATGGCTCATAAATCGGCAATATTTACAAAATTACAATACTCTTGACCTTTTACCATTAACTCATGTAAGCACAAATTAATCAGTCCAAAAGAGACAACCGAAGAAAAAAGGCCTGAAAAAGAAGCACAGTCACACGAAAAGTCTCATAAGAATGGAGCACTGGATATCTCACTTGATCAGAGAAGGTTTGGGTTCTTTGTTTACTTATAGCACTTAAAATTTACATTTCTGTAATAAATGTATTTTTCAATTAGTGAGATCCGATGCTCCATTCTTATGAGACTTTTCGTGTGACTGAGTGACTGTGCTTCTTTTTCAGGCCTTTTTTCTTCGGTTGTCTCTTTTGGACTGATTAATTTGTGCTTACATGAGTTAATGGTAAAAGGTCAAGAGTATTGTAATTTTGTAAATATTGTCGATTTTATGAGCCATATAAGATAAGTAGAATATTGATGGTTTTGGAGGTAGATTTTAAGGTAAAAGATAAATTGTAAACTTGCCGCAAGTAGCACAAAAAATGTTAACTATTTATTATCTATCTACAAGATTCGTTGCGGCTGGTTTATAACTAATAAAGTGACTTTACTGTAAGTAGCAATAATTATTTTGGATCAGCGCCATCTAGCGGTCTTTATTTTTTGGCCAAAAGTGGCTCCTAAAATTCTAAATCAGAGCATTCAGGATTAGAGCCATTTAGTCAATTATAAACCAGCCGCAACTCATGATGAAGCTATAAAATAAAAAAATAACGATACATGTGTTTTTGGCGGCAAGTTAACAATCTATCTTATGCTCGAAAATTTATCTTCAAAAGTATAAACACATAGGAGGTCGATTTTTTGGTAAAAAATAGATTGTTAACTTGCCGCCAAAAACACATGTATCGTTATTTTTTTATTTTATAGCTTCATCATGAGTTGCGGCTGGTTTATAATTGACTAAATGGCTCTAATCCAGAATGCTCTGATTGAGAATTTTAGGAGCCACTTTTGGCCAAAAAATAAAGACCGCTAGATGGCGCTGATCCAAAATAATTATTACTTCTTATATTAGAGCCATTTAATCAATTACAAACCAGCCGCAACTAATTTCATAAATGTAAAAAAAAAAGTTGTCATTGTCTGTGCTATTTGAGGCAAGTGTACAACTTATCTTTTACCCAAAAATCGACCTACAAATTCCAAAAGTATAGATATTCTACTCATATGGTTTAAAAAAATTGACCATATGGCACTACTAGTAGTGATTACTATATTACTACTATATCTTACACCGTGCTCTCTTTACCAGAATGATTATTCAGAGATCAGAGGTTTTAATTAGTTACAACTTTAACAATGGTAACGCCGCATGGTCGAGTCATACAGCAAAACAGACATCCGAAAACGATGTAACACTTAACAGACTGTAGTGGCTGTACTAAAGTAAATAAAATAGAAACCGTTTTTGCAACTAGAGTGCGCGCTTTCGTGCACTTGTATGTATAGTAAGCATGTACGTGTTTTTGTGCACTCATTACTTGTTCTTGGTTCTTGTCGTGACCGGGCTACCGTATCCGTATATAAGCTCAATGCTCATCCGTTAATTTTGTTATTTATGGATTTACAAACGTGTATCAGACATCAGTTTATTATATATATTGAATTTAATATATCAATATGCTTAACTCAAAGTAGTAAGTATATCGTCTTGCTAACGTCACAAACGCAAAGACAATCGTGATTAATGCATACATAACTTTTAAACACCAAGTAATACACGATAGTTATTGAAAAATAATATACTTCGGTATTCTTGAGTAATAAAAAACTACAAAATACTCATAAAAGTGGTCTTCCTAAAAATGTAGTTAATTTGAAAGAAANTTATTATATATATATATGTTAGGATTAGGAATTCAGGATTGATTAGTTATCCCCGATTCGGTTCCCCTTTACGTATGTCTTATTGTTGATTGTGAGTTAAGATGTAAACAGTGTGTATGTTTAATGATAATTAAGCTCCATTGACTGTTAATGCGCACATTCGTCATGACGAAGGTAAATACACGTAAATTTTTACGAAAACAATGTCCCTTAATCTTTATAAATTTGGACTGTAAATAAAATACTGTGTTTGGAGTGTATAAAATATTAAATTAATCCAGCAGTTTAGGGGTAGTTAAAAACATACACGTGCATTAAGATGCATTTCAAATCAATATCACTATTTAAGTGAACACTTTATGTGGGGGATTAATATTTTTTATTATATATGTTGCTACCCAAAGTTTCAAAAGTCATTGCTTGATTAATTAAAAATTCAATTTGTTGTTCACACTAGATTGATTATAACAGCAGATTCCTAATGTCAGGCCTTGGGATAAATATAGTTAAATATTTGTTAGTTAGATTTTTCATCTTTTTACTTCATAAGAATATGCCGATTTTGTGTATTATATAAATATAAAAAAGTTATACTTTAATTTCAGTGGTGGGATGAGTTTCAGAAGAGCATATCCAATGGCGACAATACAAAAATCTTAAGTGCACTGAAAAAGGTGTCTGTGTCCAAGACTTACGACAGAAAGGGCAATGGACTGTTGCATTACATTTCAAAGTCAAAGACAGATAATGATGTGATAGCAGCTTACTTGATAGCTGCTGGTTGTGATGTTAATGTTAAAAATCATATGGGTGATCCGCCACTAGCAATGGCTATTGTGTGTAGGAATGTAAAAGTTGCAAAAAAACTTTTGGATGCTGGAGCTTTGCATATGCATACAGACTTTAAAAATGACTTTGGGCCACTCCACATTGCGACTTATACCAGGTGTTTGGATATGGTTAAGGTGCTGCTGAAAGCTGGAGCAAGCGTGAAGTCTGTTGACCGCGATGGTTACACTCCGTTACATGTAGCCATTATAAGCTACTCCAGTAAGTTATACTTGATTTGGTATAGATGGAATATGTATTTAGTTTTATAAGTTAGCGATCCGTTGTGAACTTGAGAATTCAAATGATTTTCACAATGTTATTTTCTTGCATTATTCATATTTCATTATAGTTCTTTTTTCAATATAGAGGGTTATCGTCGCAACAATTTCAAGCTTGTAAAGGCACTGATCGAAGCAGGGTCAAATGTTAATGCCAAACCTAAAGAAGGATACACACCCTTTGTCTACGCGATAATTTGCGGCTTGAACGATGTGGTTGAGCAGATGCTTACAGCAGGTGCCGAAGTTAACGGCAAAGGTCAATTAGCCATGACACCATTGTTCCTCGCCGTCTTGAAAGACAATGTAGAATTGGCAAGACGACTGGTGGCTGCAGGTGCTCAAGTCAACGCTACAGATTTAAATGGTAGGACGTGTCTACATTACGCTGCAAGCTCCCTAAATGCCGAAATGGTGAAACTATTGTTAGACAACGGTGCCACTGTTAATGTCTTTGATAAGGAGGACATCAGTCCTTTATTATGCTGCTCACACTCTTGCAATGTGAATTTATCAGATATCGAGATGAGGATCCCCAATGGTAGAGACTGTGACCAGATAATTGAGGATACATTTCCCGGCCAGGTACTTGCTTTACTATTGTTTTCTTTCTCAAGCACGTAAAATAATTACGTAACAACATTTTTTTACATTTAGACTGCTGTTAAAGTAGAGTGCATGAAGTTGCTGCTGGAACACGGTGCGGATCCGAACTACGTCAGCGAATCATTTCCAACTCCCATCCTCTATACAGCCCTCATTCTCAGTCATAGTGTAGTTGTAAATTTACTTTTAACTCACGGGGCAAACGTTAATTTCGATCACGACTACATTCGGGTGGCAACTCGCATCCGTAACTATTCTAATTCTCTGCACCAGCTGATGAGGCACACGGCGATTTGCAACGCGCTCAACCAAAAAGACGGCCCAATCAAATTTGACGTGGAAAAGTTGACCTGTGAGCTGCAAAACGATTATCTGCGCTGCGGAAGCGAACTTGAGCTTATGAAGAATACGAACATCCACGGCTCGGTGTCTCTGTTTAAAATGCTCTCAGATAAAGATATCGGACCGTATGCACGAAATCGTAATGTCATTAAAGCTTTTGTGACCAAGTGCACTCGCAAGCGCTTTCCTATTTATGGTATTCCGCTCAGGGAACGCTTTTCTAAAGAGATAGAGCTGCAGAATCTGAGAAAGACCGCTATGCATAAATTTAGTGGCATTCTTAAATGGGACGAAAATTCATGGATCGTTATACTTGACAATATTTTTCGCTTTCTCAACGAAAAAGATTTACAAGCCTTAATTTCGGTCTGATGTTTTTTTTTTTTTTTTTTTTTTTTTTTTTTTTTTTTTTTTTTTTTTATCAATATTTTGATGGATATATTTAGCTCGCCAATGATCCGATTGGTTTTGAATTATTATTTTTTTAATAAAAATAACGTTTTTGTAGAAACGTAGTAGATACTATACAAAAATAGTATATTAGGCATTTCGGAAAGAAAAAAAAATATTCAAACGATCTGAAATATTTCCTATTGTCTACCGTGATGCTTACATGGTTTTTCATCACTTCTTTACTAGGAAGTTACATTATCTTCTTATTCAGCGATACTACAGTCGATCAAGTACGACAAAAAAGTAAAGTTGGTATCCCTTGGAATTAATCAAGAATCGTATGTTCGAAAAACTCATTTGGCCTAGAGATATTGAACGTGGCCCATAGTGTTTGAATGAAAGGCGTTAATTGTTAATATGGTAATTAACAGCTGTGGAAAAGTTAACTCTAGCGTTTGTTACATTGCCGATGGATATTGAATACTGTTATATTGTACTTTCAAAAAAAACGCTTACAATGGAGCTCAAAATTAGTATTCTCCCTCATACCCTTAATATATGTTAAGATCATTTTTTGGTTACTTACAGCAAAAATCATGTACGTCAGTAAAAACCACATACAAATTTTTATCTACTAAGCTCTTATTCTAAGATTTCTTCCATTTTCTTGACATATATTGTTTTTATGTTTTTTTACTGGCACTTTGGTTTTGAGAACCTATTTAAGATTTTTTTGTATTTTTATTAGCTATTTATTAATTTTCTTTTTTCATACTCCAGTTTCGTGGTCTTCTTTTCTTTTCGAGAATAAGCTGCAAAGCTTGAAAATAATTCCTAGTAAAGTAAAACGTTAAGTGATCTTAACTGTGATTTGAATCCTATTTATGCATAAGTAACTGTATATCTCAGTCTGTTGACTAGCAAAGGTGTTGTAGTAGGAATCGGATTGAAATTCGTTACAAGCAAAGTTTCTTTAATGAAATTGCTTTCTTTATACTTATAAATTTTTAGAGACTTGAACTTGAACACGGCATCTTGTGTTATATATTTCTCCGATGAATTTTTTACCATCAAGTTATCAAAAAATGAAGGAGACCAGGCAAGCCCATTAAAAAGGCCTCGGGTACCTAGATTCCTTCAATTACCTTCAATCACGTTACAGATAAAAATTAATTCTAATTGAAGATAGAATGTTTATCCTTAAGTTATAACAATAAGATCATTCACATAAAATACTTCATTGAAACATATTTAATTCATCATAATCATTGTAATTAGTAACAGCACCATATTTAAGAAAGTACAAATCTGTAAGTTCTTATTTTTTCATCTGTAAATATAACATCTCCATAGTGTACAGTATTTTCCTATAAATTTGTGGAAATTTCAATAAAAAGTTTAATTCTACATTTTTTGTGATTTCTTTGCCAAAATCCTTAAGCCAGGCAGAAATTATTATTTTTTTTTTCAAAACTTTTAGTTAAATGTAGCGCATTACTTGAATGGTTAATGCAGAAGATATGATGATTCAAATTTCTATTTTAAAATAACAAAATAAAATATACAAGGAGAACATTTTTATTCAATAAAAACTATAGCATTACAAATTCAAATTTGTAATGTGTTTTATTAATGGTTGTCGCAATCGGGTTAGCGACATATCGGTAATTACAAACACGGCCTTAAACATCAACTAACAGCCGTTTAGTTATTTCTTACGCCATCTTATTAACAATAGCCAAGTGAAGAGATTGAAGCTGGGTAGTCCATTTATCTAAAGCATTGTAGCGAGCAGCACATACAGACTTTTTGTCTAACTCTAAAACTTGATTTACCTGAAATCCAAATTTGTCATCCATTTATATCATCAAATGAAACGTCGTTTTTTTGTATAAGAAATGAGCATTTTTCAAAAGAATTTTAATTAACTATGGACTTTTTAGCAAGTATTATAATTCATAATATTTTATTGCTGAATTATTTACAATGAAGAAAAAAGAAAAATTTTAAATCAGAAAGTCGTACCTGATCAATGCGACCTCGAATGGTGTTATCCAAAATACAAGATGCCAATAAGCTTTCAACTTCCGATGCATCAATATTTAATTCTTTACTAATAAATGGTATATGAATCCTTGTATAAGGTTTTATTAACTTGATTAAAACCTGCAATTTAGGAAATGTCGTGATGTAAGTATACTATAACATTTTCTAAAAATCAAGCAATTTTTCACCTGTGTTCTGATATTTCGAAGCAAGTCTTCTATATGTTCTCTAATAAAAGGATCATCCATTATATTGTTTCTGTTTTGTTTTAAAATTAATTCAAATTGATTAATATCATCGTTCTGATAACTGGAGACTAATTTTGTCATAGCCAAAATTTCTGGATCATTTTTATAAGGCTTGGCTTCTTGAGAATCAAATGGATTAATGCCTGACTTCATTAACCTGTGGCACAAAATAATTTTAGAAATTAAACGTTGCTCTAGCTATGTAATACTCATTTAGTATTCCCATGTAATTTTGAAACACACATGTTGGCAAGAACTAGGTATTTCAAGCAAGTTGTGCGTCTAGGAGAACCTGATTCATCATAATTTTTAAATGCCTCAAAAAAGTCAGTATGTGCTCTTTCGAATTCACCCTCTCTTAAATGCATTTTTCCACCACATTCTGTGAAAATTTTTTTGTAAATTAAATAAGAAACTATTGTTGTGACTAAATTAAAAAACTAATGAATCTTTTCAATAAATTACCTCTTATGACACCCATGATGAGAGGATGAGGGATTGCACTTTTGATGTGAAGACTTTGTTCATAAAGAGTTTTCAATTTTTTGTTGTTCTTTTGTGCAGTGTACATTTGAATTTCTAAAGCATAGATTTCTAGTAATTGAGTACCTTTTTTCAAATCATCTTCCCCATCATCAGTCTACAAAAAGTACAAAAAAATAACATTTTGTTAGCCATTAAATTTAAAACAAGAAATTCAAAAAAAGATCAAAAATTACCTGGCAGCTCTGATGAAGCTGTTTCAAAATTTTTGCTAATTTATTGAAATCTGACCGGTCAAAGTACAACTTTCCTAGCTTAGTATTTGTTTTGAACCATAGCCTATCGTTTTTAGCATCTTTCAATGCATCTAAGGTAGTTTCGTAAAAGTCTTGCAATAATTCCATCTGTGAACATAATAATAAATTTCAATTTTTGTTACTTATATTTTATAAAACAAGAGGCAGCATTAAAAACTTGCATTTTTTGACGTGCTAATGTAATCCAAAATAGAATTTATGGATTTTTCCGAATGATTTCTTGTCACAGCACTTTTGATGTAGGTAAGTAGTTGCTTATATCTTGTCATCATTTCTTTGTAGTTATTCTATAACAAAGAACAAAATGAGCTGAAGTAAAATTACACATTGATGCATAGTAATGCAGCTTACAAGCTTGAAGTTGATTTTAATCATCTGTTTGAGGGCTTTAAAGCCCCATTCTCCTTTGTCACCTCCTTCCAAATCCAAGACTTTTTGAAAACTTTGCAGTGCTGCCTTAGGATCATCTTCTTTAAGAGCCTTGCTGTTGTAGTACTGATTTTCTAAGTCAACGTCTGGCTCGGAGTTTGAGTCCTCCGAGTACTCCTAGGGCAATTGTTCATAGGTACTTAATAAGATAGGAACCCAAAATTCATCACCCCCACCAGCAACCTAACCTTAATACCGAGTTCAAGCAACTAAGAAAGTCAACTCACCAAGCCATAATCTTCTTCCTCCTCGCACATGAAATCATCGTCGCCGTCAGACATCTCACCTTTAACTCAACCAGCACCAGCTGGCTGTCAATTGATTCAAATGCTTAGTGCTTACCTTGGTTTTGGTTGGGACACACCCGCTAATTTTACAATAGTCTTAATATGTAAAATACTGAGCGAGAGTAGATGAAATTTTCTCTACCGAAACGGTTTTATTGCAGAGAATAAGATGAGGCTTGACAAAAAACAATAGAAAACGTACTAAGCGTGAACGCAAATCTTCCGGTTTCAATCAAATAAGTTGTTTTTTCTTCAAACGGCGGCCATCGTTGTCATATATCTCATATTATCCGTCTTATTAGAACTGAAGATCTGCATTCTGCAGTAGCAGTATACCTATACCTGCAATTCTGTCAGTGGCACAGTGGCAGCTGGCGGCACTGCGGCAGAAGTTCGCCTAGTATATATTATGTCAGGCAGCGGCCACATAATATAAATCCGTGCCAATAGTTCTTTGCATGCAACTTCAAATGAACTTACAAACAAATAAATACTTCTTATTCCGCAAACTCTGCCATCACGCCATCAGTTATCAGAGATTTTATCAGTACGGTATGAATGTAAAATGTAAAGACGCAATGGCACACAACGGCGAAGAAAAAAATGTAGATCAGCGCCATCTAGTGATATTTTTCTTCTTAGGCTAAAAGAATCTTTTAGCTTTTTTCAAAGTCGGCCCCCGCCAACTCCCCAAGTCGATAACACTGGTTCTGTCGTATCGACGGCCGCAGGTAACCGAAACCTGTGTTACTGACTGTCTATAATAGATAAATGTAATCCCTACCATGTCGACTGTATTACACGCGCGCTCTACAGAGCAGCCTTATCGACTGCGATGTATATATAGGCTACACAGTGGATTAAAATATTAAATTTTTGCAGTTCTGCCACTATCGCTGTCTGGCGGAGAATTTTCCGAGAATTTTAGGAGTGAGTACTTTTTTAACTCAAAATCAGCAACGCGAGATGGCGCTGATCGTTTTCAAATAATGATGAGGTATCCAGTTGTACAGCGTTGTATACTTATTGATATATTTATGCTTTTATGTTCAAGTTGAATAGGCATTAGGTAAATATGTTTTGCACAATTAATTGAATTAGAAAACAAACAAATTTATTGTAGGCAAAAAGGTATTAGAAAAGAAATTGTTGAATTACAGTACATGTCGTGGCCCGTACAACCTATTGCACAAACAGATTGTGTCCGACTTTGTTTATAACGACGTAAATATAAAAATCAATGATACTTGAGATTTTGAAAGTGTACTAGGATAAGTATAACTATTCAACATTTTTGCAGATTGAGTACTAATACAATCAATCATTTGAATATCTGGTGTTATTGTTTTGATGTGGCTGTACGTATCTGTTATTAAAAATATTAAGATTTTTTTTTGTACTTGACAACGTGATAGTTGATCAAACTTGTGGTGTGTATCGTGATTGAAAATTATTTAAGAGTACTTTAGTACTTATTTAGTATTCTACTATCCAATTACTAATTTTTGTCAGAGACAATATGCCACCAAAAGCTAAAAAAGTAAGTGAATCGTAACAAAATTCGTTACAAGTATTTTTCCGTCTTATTCGACTTTGTTAATTAGAAAAGCTTTAAATTATTCTTTCAGAATACCTTAATATTGTTAACCAATATTGGCTCTACCAGTCTTGAACAGAATTCACTTGAAGAAGAACCATTTATAGATAAAGCCAAATATGCTATGAAAATTTTAGTGGAAAAAAAGGTAAATAGTCTGAGTAAGAAAGAATTTGTTGTAATAACGTTATGTGTACTCGATTTTCAAAATTTTTGTGTTGCAGATATTTTTGCAACCAAAAGATGAAATTGGAGTCATAACGATGGGAGACGAAACAGATAATCCTAGTGAAGTAGATTATGTTAAATTATATTGTGATCATTTATTAGTACCGCATTGGGACATAATAAAATATATTAATGGATTGGAAGCTACAGACAATCCTTGTAATTGGATAGAAGGACTCCATGTAGCAGTTAGTTTCATTGATAAAGAAGTATTGTGAGTATTTTGACTAATCAGTGGCATGACCTTTGTTGCTTTTTATAATTGAACAATTTTTACAGGGATCCCAGCTGTATAGTTTTTTTAGTAATATTCCATAATTTTAAAGAAGATGCCGATTGTATCGAAGAATATGATTCTGAAGTTATAGCTAATCAATTAAAAACCTACAGTAACTTACATCTTCTGTTTGTGTAAGATATCTGGTAATATTTATTTAAAAAATAATAAAATATTAATAAAACAATTTATTAATTTCTTTTTACAGTGGTGAAAAGTCTTTTGATGATTTGTCTGTAAGTCCTAATCCTAGCGAAGAATTCGTCCTAGCTATTCTAAACCAAGTAAGTTTTTTTTAATAAAAAAATATACATGCTTATCTATATATGCACACATATTTACCACTTCTTTCAAGACTTCAGCTCAGTATGAGCAGTTGAATTCATTTGTTGAAAGCCGAAGATTTTATGTTGCTCCACCTACAAACCCACTGGCTTGGAAATTTGGTTTAGAATGGGCTGGTTTTGTCATACCATGTGTAGAATATTTAAAGGTTCAATAGCACCTTGTAGTTAATTAAAATTCTCAAGGTTTTTTTGTAAAACATTTAAAAAATTTGGAAATTCAAAAATATATTTCAGACCATTGAAAGCACCAGCACTAGTACTCCTTGGAAATTATCTGGTGGTGATTCTGAAGATTTGTTAGAAAACTCTGCTAATCTCGACAGCTTAATTACTGGAAAAATAACTAGTAAAACAACAGTAATGAAACAAAATGTAGCACTTGATCATCATAGAAATCAAGTTCTAAATGATAACATTATAAGCGGTTATCAGTTTGGAGGAAAATACATTCCTTTTTCTGGTACACTATAATTAAAAATATAAAATTTATGTTAAAAAACTCATTTTTTGGTTTTCAAAGTTATTTAATTTATTGTAGAGGAGGATGAAAGTGCCAGTAAGTTTGAAGGCACTGAAAAAGGAATGATGATTTATGGCTTTGTGCCTCAGGATGAAGTAAATGTTGAATTCTGGGCTGGAGAAGGGTCCCGAATAGTGGTTCCTGCATCAGAAGTGAGTAACCAAGAGATTTTTTTAGGGATATCTTGTAATAAAATATTTTTAACCAACTAGTTTAATTGTGTAGGAAGAGTGTGTAGCGTTTTACAGTCTTGTACGAGCTATGGTTGAAAAAAAGTATGCAGCCATAGTTAGAAAAGTTTATGCTAATAATAATCTCCCCAAAATTGGTGTTTTTTTCCCGAAAATTGACGACGATGATATATACGTGAGCTTCCAACTTTTAATCACTAAGTATTTATTTAGTAATAGCAAGTACTTAACTCAATTTTTGTAGTGTTTGATACACATAGAGTTACCTTTTGCTGAAGATGTTCGGTATTTTGACAAAGTACCGATTACGTCAATTGAAGACCATGTCAGTACAGGAAAATTAGAAGCACTAGACGAATTTATCGATTCAATGACAATCGGTGATAATGAAGAAGCGTGAGTCACTAAATCCAAACAATAAAGTAATCTCTCTAAAATGGTTTTTAAAAATCATTGAATTTTTTTCATTTCACTCAGCGAGTTGGATTTCTTTAATCCAGGGATGTTTCCAAACGTACCAAATCAATATTATTATAATGCGGTTGCTGATCGCGCGCTTAATCCGACTGGAGCTTTACTACCAGTCAACGACTACTTAAAAAGGTATCTAGAAATACCAGAATTTTTAAAAAACAGAGTGAAACCGTGTATCGAAAAATTGGATGAAGCTTTTGAAGAATGTAAAAGCATTCTTGAAGTAGGAATAGAAAAGCCTAGCGTCACCAAAAAAATAGAAGCTGAAGAGGAGGCTGTGCAAAAAGCAGTTGCAGATAAGCCAATTATTAGTGCTGTTCCCATGGATACAAATGGTACAGATAAAAGATTATTTGCTGGAAATGATAGCAATGCCGTTAATTTAGTATCGGAAACGGTGAGTGTCGTTCATTTTCTAGAACGAAAAAATTTTTGAAGTATTATAATTTTAACTGTGCTTTTCTCATTTTAGTTTGAAGATTTTTGACTTTTACAAAATACATCAACAAGAGGCTGGTTCCACTTGTTCATGCTACAGAAGTTTTATGTACCGATATGTCGATTAATATATAAGTATATATTAATTTATATTGATTTTTTTCTTAATTATTATCTGTTTTACAGTTTTGCGTATGTACAGTTAATACGCCAATTTTTACTATACCTTCATACCATTGGACTAGTTACTGTATATTTATTCCTATATTTTTTACAACTTTGTCACCAGAAAAGAGTTATTGTAAGACAATGTAAAGGCGTTTTTAATTCTGAACGACAAAATTGAACACCTTGGATCTAACATTAGTCTAAACACTACGATCGATCGAAAATACGATTTCTAAGTCACGAAGAAAAAAGAATGATAAAAAAAAAAAAAAAAAACTGTTTCAACGAGAATAAAAGCTATTTTTCCATAATTTAACAGAATAAGAGTGACTCTTATTTTATAAACGACCTTCCCGATCATCGATCCCGACGATTCGGTACAAGAGTCATCATTTGCGCGTATTGTGTTCACGTGTCAGTGCCTCGCGAGTGCGTTCTCTTTTTCCCCCCTCCAGGTGCAGCCACGCAGCGCAAGTAGCAGTCGGCGCGTCGCCTTCCGGGGAAGCCTTTCTTTCGGTTAAACTAGCATCGGCATCATCATCATGTAGGCAGATATAGATATAGGTGTACTCGACAAGGAAGGGGAGGCTCTCTCGCGGTCGCTCGGTCAGTCGGTCGAGCCGGCGGCGTTCCCCATTTTACGAGCCTCCAACTTGCGTATACCCAAGTATATAATACATATTGTACACCTGTAAGTACTGTATGTACATGCAGGCTTAGTCTTACATTACACTTGCTCTTTATGTTACGTTGGTGTAATACTTATACGTTCACCGCCCAATACATTGTCCGCGATGGTGAATGTATCCGCCGAGCGACGTATATACCTACGATATATATAAAGGCGACCTTATAAGGTCGTTATGGGTAATCGATGAGGTATGCACTCGATTATTCGGTACTCGCACGCACACGTGGTACATATAATTAACGGGACATTAATTCGAGGGGGTATTGTTATTACGGAGTTGTTGCTTAATACGCGTATGATGCATGTATTCGGTATGGGGGTATTGAAAAGGAAATGGGCCCTTTTCATGGGGTTATTGGGTCGTTTTGCGGACACACAGTGTGGATGGTGTAATCTTTTTTTCTTCTTTATTTTGTTTTTCAGAAATTACCACGCCCATAGACTTGATGTACCGATGCAAGGTCAACAATTTTATACCATATATATTTATACATATAATACTCGTTAAGTAGGTATACTGTTACATACCACTTATTACCATATTCGCACGATTTCTCATTGAAATTCGGATTCGCGTGACACATTTGTCTCGCATTATCGGCGAACGTTTATTTTGCGCGCTCGACGAAAACAACCAACAGCGAGGGCATAAAATTACTTTTTATTAGCATCGCCAGACTCGGGCGTGCTGGCGTTGGCATTTTTTGTCACTTAACGGGAGATGAGAGTATAATGCGCGGAAATCATTATCGTAACGCAAACTGAAAAAGAAGCCTTATGTGTGTATATCTACTCTTCGTCACCTGTATGGATGAAAAAAAAAGGATCCGGCGAAAAATATTATCGCCCGAGTGACGCGATTAATTATTCATCGGTAATCTTGCATAAGTAGAAACGGTCGCGGCCGCCTCGCACACGATTATACTTTTACGCGCACAAAGTGGGACGTCGACCTGTTAAAAATACACGCGGGTTGCAGCGAATACAAAAAGAAAAAAAAAAAGAAAAAAATGCGGCACGCGTTGCGTCGACTAAGTCGAACGCGCGCTTGGAAGTGATTTTCCAACGACTGCACGCTTCATTGTATAGGGCGTACAGAGCTCCGAAACGTGAACACAAGAGAAAAAACGAGTTATTAATATTTTATATTGCCTTTCGTCTATCGCCTCGGGTTGGCTTTAAACGTGAAAGAGAGAGAGAGAGAGAGGGGAGGAAAAAAACGGTAAATTTTCAGAGATGGGAGAAATGGCCCACTCGTGTACACGTGTGTGCGAGCGATTCTCTCGTTCTCAATCGTTGAGGTCCTTGGCCCCGTATACGGGCTCAGGTATTGGGCTCTTCCTCTTCTCGAGAAAGTAAACTCAAAAACTTGGAGCTCAACACCACATGTGTACACGTATGTATGCATCAAGGGAGAGAAGGAGGAGAGTAGGACTCCTCGGAGCAAATGGGCACGAGAGTGTGAGTGACTGTGAGAACGGGAGAAGGTACCTACCCGTAGCTCTTTGTTTTCTCGGCTTATCGTTGCCCGTTAATTCAATTTATATTCAGTTTTCACGTATACCACGCGCTGTACTTACCCGTGTTTATGCATATATAATTCACGCAGGCAATGATCTAATCGGATTTTTGTTTATTGTTGCCTTGGACGGGTGCCTTTTTTTAGATGCTGCGATATGCACTTGATTGATTGTTATGGTCGCTCATACTTATTTTTTTTTTTTTTTTTGTTCGCCCCTTCACCTCGATTTGACCGCGTGCAATGGACGTAACTTTATATTACCTACGTTTAAATGGATTAAAACAGTTGTGGGCGAGGAAAAAAAGGCAATTGAAAAATTTCCATTGTAACAAGCTGCATCGTGCGGTAGATTTAAATGGAAATAACTGGAAGTTTAGATAAATTGCGCGCACACGCAAAAGTTAAGGACTACCATCGTGGTACTTGTATACACGTACGGGAGCACAGTCGAATCTTTGCAAAGTTTCTCGAGCATTAATTTCGTCCGCACTATAACTTAGTGGTGTACTTGTAAGTAATGGGTTGGAGTAGAGTCGAGGGCTAAGAAAAGGTGCGAAAATCACTTTCAAAAGTCGCACGTGAAAAGTGTATACACACACGTAATAGTTCTGTGTGTGTGTATTGTACGCGTCACCTATGGCAATATACCCTCTGCTACAGAGATAATGTGTTTCGTACGACCTTTTACTTTTTTTCGTTCTATTTTCTCGTGCGTTAATTGCTCGGAAGTTTTTACTTTCTTTTTTTTTTTTTCCTCCGACGCGTTTATCTCTTTTGCGGGACAGTAATTAAAAATGAATTTTCCTTTTTTGTCTCGATTCACTTGTAGAGAGTAATCGATTTTGTAGAGACAAAAAGGGAAACAAAATATATACGATGACTGTATAGTCACGTAACTTGTGAAAATTAAACTTTTAAATCCACACCTTATCAAATTCACAGTATGCATATATATATAAAAGAAGAATGAAGTACACCTCAAAGCAACTTAATTGTTCAGCAAACTTGGGCACAAAAAATACATATTCCCAGAATCTTGACCTCCACGAGCGCCCAAGAGAATACCCATCATATCACACAGCTCGGTATAAAAGAGCGCACGCTCGCATCCCGTGGCTGAAGAGCATCCCGAGTGCGAGTGGATGTATATAAAGTGTCGAGATTGAAAAAAAAAAAAAAAAAAAAAAAGAGAGCACCCACAGGGGACAAGAATGGGAGCACTCGATCGGGGGCTGAATTTCCGGCGGAAGCGCATTTACGCGCGCTCGCCTTTTTTTTTATTTTACTCTTTTCTTCGATGTGTGCTTCGATGGCAGCGAGAAGGAGGGCCGATTTGAGCCATATATTGGCGTGTCGCGCAATTTCATTTTTTTCTCTTGGGGACCGCGTGGACAGGAATCGCCTCACGATGCATGTTATTTGCGAACTGGGGAGCTAGCGTTAGCATAGGTTTGATTTCTTTCCTTTTTTTTTTTTTCTTGGAATTTTCTTGAAAAGCTCAATGTGGTTTTAGGGTAATTGACTGGGCGTTGTTTGTTTGGATTGAAATTACCGCGTTGAAACGTGCGCGCGTGGAGATCCTATGGGATTTTGGGGCACGATTAGTATTTTCGGTCACGATGACGGATTCTCACGTACATATACTGTGGCACACGCGACCGGCACGTATTGTGTACCTATACGTGATGAATTCTGGTTTTCAAATTAACTGAATTCATCGACAACAATAATAATAATTGCTCACCGCCGCAGGTGCAATTAGTGCCTGAGTAGAAAAATTTCTATCAGCAAATATTACGAGTAGGTACGAGCAGGAGAATAATAATGAGCTGTAGATGGATCACGTGCTGACACTGTTTTTTTTTTTCCTACGCATGAAGACAAAATAAAAAATTTCAATGTAAATAGCACTTTGAAGTCTGTATAAATGTATTTGATTGCTCTATTCACACGTCGTTTTCCTCGATGTTAGAGCTTCGTTTGAAATAAGGGATGATGGACTTTTGTTACCATTTATGAATAAAGTACGAGCCATCATTTTGCTCGTATAAGTGCGATTTCGTAGTTTCTAAAGCAGTAAATTAAAAACATATACAACGGTATTGCGGCTTTATGGTGGTTTTTTTGTTATTCGATTGCCATTTGCGCCCAGAAGTGATATTTTTACGACCCATTACGTTCGCTGCGATGTTACTGTTATTACGCGTGAGAACAAGGTACTTGGAGCAATACTTTTATTTACAATTTTTCAGGTAGAAATACTTTCATATATTTTTGATTATAATTGTTTGGGATTCCACAAAAAGAGTTTAAAACAAAATCATTGCTTTGGCTGGCACATACCGACCAGTTTTTATTTATGAAAGGTTATTGTATAACTTTTAAACGCGTGTGGAATAGGAAGTAGTTTTTTTTAATGTAGGATAACACTGGCTTGAAAAATTACGTCGGTTCTATACGAACATAACTTGCTTATTATAGTTTATCAAATTTGTAATACGTAAAAGATTTGATACAACTTTTATTAATTTACAGGTCCTTAAAGTATAATGTAATTATAGAAATGCATACATAGCGCAAAATTGAGATATTTGAGTAATAAAATATGAAATAACGAAAATTAATGAGCGGTTTCTGTTTCATTAATTAAAATCTAAATAATTGAACTATCGAATTGTGCGTAGCATGACTGTAGTATATATACTGAAAACGAATATTCCCTTGTTTATTGTAGGGTTTTCGTATACATATTTTTTCTACTTTCGAATGTAAAATACAAATGAAAAACTAAAAAAAAAAAATTATTTTTTAGCACAAAATAACATCAGTGAAAATTTTTGTAACGCAAACTTTTTTACCAATTTTTTTTTGAGGGGTAAAAAGTATTGAAAAAACGTCCAGCCAAAAACGTACACCTAC